TCTTAAGAATTGCCAAGTTTCATCTTTCGTATCATATTTTATTTCACATTTTCAAGTGTCGGTTACGTACCCGACACAATGTGGCAGTGCCGCCATGTTTGCGTGGACCTCCAGCAGTCCCGCGGGACACCTGATTCAGCGGATTGTTTGTCAATCACTATAACTTTGCACTGAATCAAAATAGAGGGTACCAAAGCTGGAAAAAAGAAGTTTAATAACTTTGAAATGAAGTTATGACATTTGGTTGAAATTTGTGCACTTTTATTTTAAAGGTGTTGCACCTTTTAGCTATTCCTGTTATCGTGAAATCACCCTAACTTACAATAAAACATCTTTTCCCACCGATTTGTTTTGTGATCGAACTGAAAACGGTCCTCTCATTGGGCCAAGGGTAACGTAGTATCGAGCAAGGTGGCAAATACTGCTCGGTCCACACTATTTTGCGACGAAAGGGAGGCAAAAAAATCCAAAAATTTTCAATCGGCGAAAAACTCCTAAGACTTACCCCGGGAGCAAAATTCGATAAAATTATCGCAATTTTTTTCGAAAAGCATCTACATGAGTAGGCATTTCAGTACCTTTTAACCCATTTATTCAACCCACCAGAGGCCCGATAAGGTGAACTTCTTACCTTCTAACCCCCACCCTTCTCTACTATCTAAAAATGTCCCTCTTAAAGATTATATTTGGCATTTTATGAGAATTGTCCCCGTTCATCATCCTCTGTTCCCCATTGTCCCATAAAAACCCACGCCAGCTCTCACAAAGGAAAAATAAACTTAGGCTCGAACACTAACATTTTCAGATGTGGTAACTTTAGTTTTCAGTCACGGAAACCGACCTTCAGCTTAGCTAACGAAAGTTTCTGTTAGCCATACTAAGACCAGTATTCTTCACTGAGGACCTCAGTTATCTGAACGGAAATTCGGTTCCAATTATTGGAATCGCGAAATGTTCATTCATATCCCGGCCACTTTTCAGCTGAGCCGAACACATTGTCGGCCCGATCATAAACGAAAAGAAGTATGTCACCCCAGATTGCACCGCAGAATGCCGGGGGGGGGGAGGGGGCGGCATCCTCATTTTCCACCCACCGCAGCCTCGGTGGGCGTGCTGGGCGTCGGAGAGCGCACCCATTGGCTGGATTCCGGACGCAACAGGTTTGAATGGCTCCTTCAAGCACCGACGACGCAACACGCGGAGCATCGCCGATCCGGGCGTAAAAGCACTCGACCAAATATTAGCCCACGTCACAGCACCGAAATACCCGCGCCGTTTTTTTTTATTATTTCAAGCGCGTCAGCTCTTCTCCCCCTTCGCAAAATGGAGTGTCATATGTTCGCTGTCGAAGCCTCCTGGACTATCACCTGATACCGCGCCTCGTGTGTGGGTGGGCGTGTTTGGACGTGCATTAAAAAACCCCGATACAGAGGTGCGTTATCAGACACACGTTTCCGGTGAGGGTTGAGCCTACCCCTACGTCTACGTGTTCGGAGGTGACTTCACGCATACTCGGTAAAACACATCGTGACCGACGCGACGTGACGCCGGTGCCCGCAGGATGCGAGAGTGGTTCAGCTCCTCGAAGATGAGAGATGCTGAAGGTGTAATCAAAAGTGATGAAAAGCAGTGATTGTATAGTCAGCCGAAGGGGGTAGGCGCTGCATTCAACTTCTCCTAGGACTTGAATCTTTAACCCAATTTCGTCTTTGTAGGGGAATTCAGGAACTTTCAGTTTATCTCTCCCTCCTTGCATACTATGACTGCTATAACTATTTTACCCCCTTCGAGAAACTCAGACCGAGTTTAACAGATACACACTCACACTGGGTTGTATTTTGGGGGAAAAATTGAATTGAGAATAGCTCTGAATTTAATTGGTCGCCTGCCAAAAAAGTGTCCTTTTTTTGGGAGAACTCGGGGAAATTGTTGAAATGGGGCCTAAACTAAACTTTATTTTGAGACCAGTGCTGTCATGCGAAATTTTCGCACATGGAGCAACCTAACGTTAGGTGCCTTTTGTACCTACATCCACAGAGAGGTCGAATTCCCATAACGGAGCGGGGGCTCAGGGTCTCTCTCCCGGAAAATTTTGGAATTTTCAGTTTGAGATGGAGCGATTTTGAGGCATTTTAATTGGAAAATTATGCACGCTTCATACCTTATACTGATATACTGGTATACTGATATACATTGGTATACTGAGGCAGCAGGAAACCATTATTTCTTCTCATCCAGGAAGGTTTAGGACCGCAGAGCACAGAGATTTTTATTGCAATGCGATGCGATGATTACGAAACATTCATTTAAAAAGGAGGGAGCAGAGTGCGCTGAGAAGTATCTCTTCACAATGCAGGCGTTTCTTGTACGTCGAAACGCTTCATAAAAGAAGTATCTACAGCAACCGCATTACTTGCGGCTACGTGTTGCTGTATACTGTTGATTTGGTACTTGGATGATACAATTATTCGGCCTCCGAGGCGCCGCGCCGCTAGGAAGTATCTTTTCACAATGAAGGCGTTTCTTATGCGTCAACACTTTTCATCAAAACATCATCTGAAGCTACCGCATTATTACTAATGCTTCACTGTTTATTTGGTTTTAAAATTATGCAACTATTCTGTCTCCAAAGCCACGCTAGGAAGAATCTTTTCACGATGAAGGCGTTACTCATGCGTCACTTGGTTTGGAACTACTTATGTGTCGTAGTAAGCCTCGGAGACTAAAACGCAGCGTAGAAAAAGTAAACCATTTCATGACGTGACGATGCCATATTTTTAGATCCAATTGAGGACACCGCACCAAGAACAGCCTATAGGTGTATAGGTCGTTATTACGCCCATCTGCTTTTCGGATTCTACGTCCCCTGGACTATGCTGTGGTAGCGAAAGAATATAGATAGGTAACGGCTCGAGGTCGAAAAACCTTTTTTTTCCGAGTTAAGTCAGGCCTCTGGGTCGATGGGTGCAAGAACAACCAAAGAACGGGCCTATAAGGTGCTAGTTACCCCTTCCTTTACTCACTATCGATATTCTTTCATTTTGCGTTAATCATGCGTGATTAAAATGATTTATACTTCATATTGCCACCGAAATGACTGTTGGGCGTAATAATGGCCTATACCTAAACCGCTTTTTTAAATTAAATGTATGAGAGTATAAACCCAAAATGTATCGCAAAATCTACCCGGTATCCTTCAATAGAAGGGTTGGGTCAACCAAAAACACCAAAAACAGGGTGCCTGCATAGAAAAGTCTGCGCAGTGCATCAAAAACAAAACTTTAAATGCGTTTTTCTCAAAACGCGGTTTCCATACACGCTGGGCTTGTCGATTTCCTTTGACATTNAGAAGCTCTTCTCCTGTAGCGGACTTCAAATCCTCGCAGATTCGGCGGGAGCGTCGAGCACCTCGGCGCGTTCAAACGGCTCGCGTTCGGCCGCACATAGTCCGATTTTGTTGCGGTTTGTTTTGTTGAACTCAAAATATCCTAAGGAAGATTTTGAGCCCAAGTTTTTTAAAATTGGTCCATTCTTATGGATTTTAGAGAGGGGGGGATACTTACTTATTGAACGCCCCTCGTACGTCCCCTGGACTATGCTGTGGTAGCGAAAGAATATAGATAGGTAACGGCTCGAGGTCGAAAAACCTTTTTTTCCGAGTTAAGTCAGGCCTCTGGATCGATGGGTGCAAGAACAACCAAAAAACGGGCCTATAAGGTGCTAGTTACCCCTTCCTTAACTCACTATCGATATTCTTTCATTTTGCGTTAATCATGCGTGATTAAAATTATTTATACTTCATATTGCCACCAAAATGACTGTTGGGCGTAATAATGGCCTATAAACCGCTTTTTTAAATTAAATGTATGCGAGTATAAACCCAAAATGTATCGCAAAATCTACCCGGCATCCTTCAATAGAAGGGTTGGGTCACCCAAAAACACCAAAAACAGGGTACCTGCATAGAAAAGTCTGCGCAGTACATCAAAAACAAAACTTTAAATGCGTTTTTCTGAGAACGCGGTTTCCACACACGCTGGGCTTGTCGATTTCCTTTGTAATTTTTGCAGTGGTGAATGCATAGCTGAAGTGCGCTCCAGCTAGAATTGTATTTAGCAAATGGGTGGTTTTTATACGAGGAATAAAAATAAACAAGTGGTAGGTATGGAACAAAACAAAAGAATATGAACTATGCAAAACGATAATCCGGGTATCGGAACTTGCCTGTCTTGAAAACGCCTTCAAATGCGGCGTGATACCTCACGCATTCCGGAGAGTTCGAATAGTTGTATCATTGCGCCTTAGAAATGTGACGGAATATTACAATTGAAATAGCCTCCATACACGCTGGGCTTGTCGATTTCCTTAAACATTTTTGCAGTGGTGAATGCATAGCTGAACTGCGCTCCAGCTAGAATTGTATTTAGCAAATGGGTGGTTTTTATACGAGTTTGGATTTTTCCAAACGAAGTTTGGAAAAATGGGAGCACGAAATTAAAAAGATATCGTCACCAACAGAGTGAGAGTTGAAAAGATGGACGAACTATCATTCCAAATGGTTGAGGGTGCGTTGCGAGAGACTACAAAGTTTCAACAAGTGGTCTGTGGTTGGGTGGTTGTAGCAAGATCTGAGATGGACTCGAGCACCAACTGGCGTGGCGTGTTTTGGGATATATCGATTTATCTGTCATTTAAATCTATGAAAAGGATCGATCACAGGGTGAGGATCCGGGTAAGGGACAGGGGATGGATAGTAAGGGGGAACACCTTCATAATCGATTCTTTTCCATAGCTTCAAATATCGATAATCGATCAGTCACGCCTCGCCATCGAGTTAAGAGGCAGGGGAGGGGGACGCAATGCTCACCGGTCAAGGCTCCTACGAGAATAGAATTTTGAAAACATTCAGAGAACTGGATTGCTCGTGAAGCGAGGCACTTATCGATTATCAACTAATGGACTTTAAAAATTAGTAAACTTGTAACAGATTAAGATTGTGATATTGTTTTTTTAGATAGGAATGATTGAACTTTTGAAACAATGTAAAATGTGAGTGTTACACACTTGCAGGGCTTTCCTATAAATTTTCTTCAGAAAAACAAAAATGCATGGTTAGTTTCATTAACTCTTGCATCAATCATTACATATTCTGAAAGATCGTGCACCATGCAACCTCTGAATTGTTATCACTTTTTCTCTTCTCACTCAATTTTCTCTAATACCATGAAAATTTTCATGAAAAGGTATCAATTTTCATGGTTTTCAACAGAGAATATCTTACGAAAGAATTAATCATTTGTGTTCGATTTAGGGTTCAAGGACTTGACTGGTACAAATATTTAGTGGACTGTGTTCAACTAAATCACATTGGAATCATGAGTGAGCATCTCGAGGGTCCAAATAATGTGACTTCAACGACATTTTGTGGCTTGGAGTGAAGTTTCAAAGAACAATTGTAATCGGCAAGTACATTTCTGCTATGCGTATGTAGTTGTTTCTTAAACTGATAGTGAAAGTCTTTGAACGGGTTGAAAGTGATAGGCCTAAGCATTTAAAAATGTACATAAATGTGTCAACACAATATGAGGCTGAATTATGCTCCTTTTACAGAAGAAATCCTCAATTATAGGCAAGATTTTCAAGAGATTAAAAAGATAGAAATAAAAATGAAAAACAGGATTTTGTAATAAATATTGACGGTAATTTATTAATAATTGGAATGAAAGGACATTGGTTTCAATCTTTGAATAAACATTTTGAAAACATGAGTTCAATGGTTAAGATAAAACAAAAATTAAATAAAAAAGTTCTGCAGACCACTCTTTGCAAATCTGTAATTGTTAATTGGACAAGACAGGACAAGGATGAGATAGGAACATGACTTTACGGTGGACCTCACGACCAAACGAATCACATTTGATTGGTTCAGTTTGCCGTTTCTTGGTCATGTGCTCTCTTTGTCGGGCCTAACAAGCCTCAAGCTAAAGGCAGCTTCTCAGCGGCTTACAACATGTCAACTATACGACCCAATAAAGAGGGCATGTGACCAAGAAACGACTGAGTAGACCAATCACATAATTCCATTTAATACCAATCTAATCTTGTCCAGAAGACTAATACAAAATTTCAGTAAATGCCTTGCAGGAGAATTCTTAGGCTTTAAAATCAAACTAAAGAGAAAAAGCTTCTTAGTGTGTTACAATAACTTAGTACGAGTTACTTAAATAAATACAATCATTAAATAGTGGTTCTCAACTTGTGGTGCGAATACTTCTACTGTCTACCGCCCATGAAATACATCAACATTCTTGATTTCTTTTCGTGGTTTTAAGTCATTTCTTATCTGTTGACAACCGATTCTTACTGATGGGGACAAAGATAATTGGAAAACAGAGAGCAGTTACAAATCCTCAAGAAGAAAAAATACTTAGTATAGTAAAATACATAGAGCAAAATTTCTTATAAAAAAAAAAAACAAAAAACTGCTAACTACATGGCAAATCTGGAATACTAGTAGTGTTCCTATCCTTTAAGATGGTCCCGCTGACTTAGGCATCAACCATGTTCATAAGAGTTTGAAAAGAAAGCAGACTAGAGAGGGATGTTGTGCCAAATTCAATTCAGGGCCACTACTGCATTCACCAACAAGATTTTACAGCTCTTGAAAATAATATCCAGAAAATTTGGAAGTAAATGATTACATTAAGGCAAAGCTGCTATTACATATACTTGTTTTAAGGCAAAGCAAATGCCTAAATCTGTAGCTTGAGTAAAATGTGTCAAGGACGGAGAGGGGGAGAGAGACTTAAAAAGGGTTGAGACCGACAATCCTAAACAACAAATATCACAAAAACACGTAAATTTACGTGATAAATGTACAAAAATAGGGAACCTTTGAATAAACACATTAAATTGCATTGCATTCAGACAAAGGAATTAGAACGCAACACGAAGCTAGAGAAATCAATTGAATCTCTACAAACTTTCTTTCAAAACGGCACTAGAACATAAATTTAAAAAAAAACCTGAGCTAGAGAAATCAATTGAATCCCTACAAACATTTTTTCTAAATAGTGCTAAAAAAAATTTAAGAAAAAAAAAACAAAAACAAAAACATGAGGTTCCTCCACCTCCAGTTGACAGAGAAATAGAAGTTTCTAATGCTTAAAAATAAGTAGATTAAACATATTTTGCAATTTTTGGATCCAGATGTGAGCAAGAATTACAAGTAGGCCGATTTGTTTTCCGTTTCAGATTTGAACGGAGGTATCTTCCTTCTTCTAGTGTGGAGGATCTTGAGTTACTCTCAAGAGGAGGTAGGACATCAGCAAAAACCGCGATGACTGAGTCCAAATCTGCCACGTTCACGGCAAGGCATTGATTCGATGCCAGTAAGGGATCAACAGGCGAAGAGTAGGGCATCACTTTCCCAATCCAGGATTGTGGGGCCTCATTGGATTTCATTACTTTGATATGGCCTTCTAGAGAAGGGGAATTTGGATTCGAGTCACTAGGTTTGGGTATATGCTGAAATAATAATAGAGAATTGTTGATTACTTTGTGAACAACACACTAAATTAAATTTTGAATTTTTGTCGAGTATGACTATGGGTCATATGAAGCCAGAACATGATCTATGAAAACAGCTGATATCGGACATCTGTCATTTTTAGGGATACGGCTTTTTTAAAATTCGCTAACTTCATGAGTGTCGGCACCAAGTTTCACACTTCTGGCACACTTTTTCAAGGAGTGTCATAAAAAAAACCATGTCTAGCTAGTCATGTTAGCTAGGTATTTCATTTTGTGCCTAAAAAAAAGTTCTCCATAAAAACAGCAGATGTGGTCTTTCTTTAGAATCACTGTGTATATCTCATTGGCATTAGCTTCAAATTTAAATTTCTGAAACTCATGTTTCAGAAAAGGGTTTATTCTATGATAAACTCTTTAATGGAATCTATTGCTGCACAGACATCAAAGTACACACATCTGAAAACTTTGAATACAATTTTCTCAAAACTTAAAAACAAAACATTCGCTCTTTATACACATAAAGCTTCATATAGTCATATACTCATTATGCGAGATGTAAAATATGCGGTGAACTATTTTGGTAAAATAAGTAAGCTATGCCTACCTGTAACAATGCCATGATACGTGCTTCCTGCTTGATTACACGGACGATAAAAAGCTTTTGCCCTGCCTCAATGATGAGGTTTTTTGAGCCTTCTTGGAGCACAGATGACAAGGTTAATTCGTACGGTCTGACTTTAAACTGAGAAACATCTATTATATCCTTTTCATGATACTGAAATAGAGAAAAGAAAAACAATTAAAAAACATTCCAGAATTGACTTCAGAATCAAACTATATGTACTTTTTACAAGACCAATGCACATTATTCTAGATATTTGGATTTTTAATAAATCAGGGTTGCCACAGAATTTAGAAAATGGAATTCCCTGGCATTTTCCTGACAGATTTTGGTGAAAATCCCTGACAATTGAAGATGCAAAGGATGGTTAAGGAGGCATAATTGAAAATAGTTCTTGGGCAAACTTTGTTGTTCGAAACCTGAAACCCATTCTAGAAAGCAAATGAAGGTGATTTAACAAATTTTCCCTGACATTTTCGTCATGTTCCAAGACATTTCCTGGTTTTCTCTGACTGTGGCAACTCTGATAAATGCACGGGGAAATAATTAGCAGTTTTCTGTAAATAATGCTGTGGTAATATATGTTTGATAATATGTCTCATTCAAATTCGATATTTCATTTTATCTTTGTCAAATTTCCATAAAAATGACTCTGCATTGAAAGCAAAGGAATTTAGAGCTGGTTAATTTTTGTTGTTATTAAATATGTTTTTTGCTACCTTCGGAGCCTGATGAGCGTCTAAAATCGAACTTTCCTTGTGCCAATGTCAAGAAAAACAGGGCTGAAAAGGGAAGTTTTCTGTCTCCTTAAACACAGTTTCTAATGGAAATGTGGGATTTAAGCTGTGTGTGTTCGGGCACTAAGCTATATTTTCTTTTTATCTTGTTTTACTATCCTGGCTAGCAAGGCGACAAAAGCTCTCCTCTATCACCAATCAGACACTGATATTGCGTATAAAAATGCCAGAAAATTTAGTTTCAAGCCCCTCTTTTCTTGAAATTTGTTTTGACCTGACCAGATTTGAGACCACACTTTTTCTCACGTTTGAGGCAGTACTGAAAAATACAATCTTTTTACTTTGCAAGAAAAACGAATATGATATTCTTTCTTTGCAATAGCACAAAAAAGTACAACAAAATCTAACTTTTAGTTAAGATAGGTACACAATAAGTATAGGTATTCATTCAAAAGCTAATTGAATTTGGGAGTCGCCTGTACAAATTATAAGTAGATATTCTCATTGTTGAAGAGATGCGAAGCAAAGTCTTCCATCAGGTTTTTCAACTTTGAATCCCTGCCTCCTCCCTTTGGGAAGGGGGGGGGGGTCTTTTCTATATTTTTCCCTATTAGAGGAATTTGTTTTGCAATTTTCTCTTGATTGTTTGATACATTTCCAACCAATGTGTTTCAGCGTAATTCCTCTTGTCCAATCAGAAGAATGGCAAAATTTGAACCCTTTAAGCCATGGTTTCCCTGAAAAAACACTGAGTTCTCCTGCAAGAAACTTACTTTACGTATATGATCCTCAATTGGAAGTACGCTATCCCACGCAGTATGGCATCCAGAAACCGGACAAGCATAGGGTGGAGGGCTTTCTGCATGTCCAACTGATATGAAACTTGAGGATGAACTTTCTTCTGTTGAAGGTGTCTATAAAGTGTAAAAATAATAAATTTTTGATCTCTACATGATGAGTGGTATGAATTTTGTATTCAAATTGCATATTATAAAAGGTTTCTGTTACCGAATTTGTTTCTTTTACATAAATAGTTACAGGATATCTACAGATAGGACAGAAAATAATTCTCGGACTTTTTCAGGTTTCCCTGGATCCGAATAATTTTAACACCCAGACTTTTAACAAAAGAAAATTTGCTTCTTTCTGAACTTAAAAAGAACAATTTTTAGCATGTAATATGTAATATAGCTCAACATTTTGAGATTTCGTTTCATTCTTAAAATACTGGTGAGGTTTAGTTTCATTCTTAAAATACTGGTGAATTCATGAACCTGATGCCTTCTTAAGTGCACAAGCCTTAAACACACATTTTTTATCGGATACTAACTACGAGAAAATACATTTCCTAGTTGGAGTATACTCCAGGGTTTCCATTAGTTCTTCATTTTTGTTCGTCTTCGTTCCTTGACTCCGAAATTTTTGAATTCTCTAACTTTCCCCACCCTTTGAACAGAACCTCTGCTCAGATTATTTTTCTTCTTTAAACTGCCCTGATTTCCGCTTTAGTAGGGATAAAATTTTTGATTCTAGAAATTCAATTTAAGGCAAAAGATACTTGGAGATTGTTCGTGCTCTCTCGAAAAGCACCAGCTCAAGTTGCTGAGCCGGTGTATTACTCACGAAATTCCCTAACCTTTAACAGGTCGCCAGAAACCCTGTAAACTTTGCTGATTTACTGAAATTCCAAGCTGACAGTCTTCGAGTTTTTACAAAATCGCACACAAATTAAACAGGGGAGCATTCAATGGTAGCAATGTTTCTCTCATTACCATTGAGTCAGCAGGAGCGCCCTTGCAGAATCAAAAAAGATGTATGAAAACTTACATTTTCATTCTGTTTGGCTTCATGTAATCTCCCATTTTCCACCACACTTGCTTGGGTAAAGCTGTCTATGGCCGAGTACGACTGACGGCAAACTTCATCTATTTCGGCGGCTGTTAGATTCTCATAAGCCTCTGATATTTTTCCATCTGCCTACAGGACAAAGAGAGGAAACAACAAGTAGTTAAAATATTGAAGAGACTGAGTTTGATAGGTGAGGATTTGGCTTCATTCTTTGACTTCCGATGTTGCTTCAAATTCACATATATCTGGATCACACTAGTATGATGAGATGCAGTTCGGTTGGATCCTGTTAAATCCGTTCATTTCATCTTAAAATTTTAAAATTTTACTCCATCAAAATACGGTTTTTTCTTTGATATAAGAATAAAAATTAATAGTGCATACCTACAGTCGAAAAATTTTGTGGAACAGGCTGAGCACACCTCTCCCTGATGCAAGTTTCTGTACCACTCAACTACAGGTTTTAGATTCACTTATCATGGGAGGAGCTGGTTTTTCACCAGAGCTTGGACCTAAAGGGACACTACGTTGAAAAAAGAGAGAGGTGCTTTGAACCATGAAAGAATGATTTACAGTTAAGTTCCTGATTTTCAGCCGCTTGCCTTGCATGCAGGTAATCAGAAAATTACAAAATTCTTGACTCAGAACTTCAGAAATCAGTACTCCTTAACATCGTGACCAACCCTTGTGAATTATAGGGTGGCACCTGGACCCTGTATCACAACAAAGAATAAGCTTGTTCTGGAGCATACTTACAATTGTTTCGTTGAAAATGCTTTCAACAATTTGACTATCTAAATGCGGCATTTCTTGGGTTAAAACTGTTGATTCAAGTGCATGGTAGGCCCCGTCATTTTGATTGTTTGCTATATGATTGAAACTATCTGGCTGAGTTTCATTGGAGTCCTGCAAAGAAATTATTATGAGAGAAAATAATGAAAATTTGACAAGACCAAAAATGGATCCTTAAAGCAGAGTAGTTGGCTTGATCCATTTCCTTGATCATTTGTTTTGCTTCTCCGCTTTTGGCTGGAGTATTGAATTTTGCTTTTAACAGTAAACACAAAACAGTAACAATAAAAGTAAACAGTAAGAAAGTCGAAAGGCGTAGGGGACGCCCAGTGAGAGGTTGGCGACAGGGGGTGTTAAGTGAGATGAGGGAGTGTCAACTCCCTGATAACCTGTGGGAAGACCGAGCTTTGTGGCGATTAGGTGTCGCAAAGCGCCAAAGAGCGCTATAACAGCGACTCGTATGTATGTATGTAATAAAGTCGAAAAATTGACTTTTTAGTCCAGTTTTTCTCAAGACTGGCTTATAGAAAGTTATTATTTAGAAGCTTAGGATGCTCAAGAAGTCATACAGAGCATTGTACCAAAATATATGAAATTTAGCTAAATTTATGCAGTTTTGTGTCCGTGGTTCTTCGTTTCTGAAAATAGGGGTGGGTTGAAAAAATTATGATGATTTTTTAAGGGGGATTTGGAATCTGCTGGAGGGGTATCCAAAAAGCCAACTTCATGCATGTTACACTTCATGGATGGCACCATGAGATTTTCCTTGAAACTTCAGCTTTTATCCAGCTTGATGCTACACTTGCAAGCAAAATAAAGAGTTGAAATTAATTCAGGATAATTCCTGTTTTTAACACATTGACTGCCTTGCCAGTCGATATCTTCTGCAGAGGCCTAAACACATTAAGAAGGACACTGCTGATATTGCAATGTCAGTTAAGCCATCAAAGTGTACAATCTCTCGGAATTTTGGAAGCAGTTCTATTAGTTGCCCGACAGGAGGCACCACCGTTTGTCTCTGTGCCCCCCCCTCCCCCAATAAGTGCTAAAACACTGTGGCGGTCAACATTGTCAACATTATACTTGAATTTTACCTCTATTAATGTATCTTCATTGATGATAAGCGTTCCGTCCGAATCGAATTCACTAGTCTCCACAGAATCAGATGGTGATAAACGAAGCGTTATGTCCCCACTGCTTTCATCAAGGAATAGATCATCTTCTGAATTGTTTTCAGCATCTTGCCTACCCTAGAAACATACAAAAAATGAGGATAACAGTATTAAAAGAATCAGCGATTAGAATTAAAGCAATTACAATTGACAGGAGCACAGACGGGGGGGGGGGGGGAGGTTGTTGGTTTTTTTGAACCCTGAGGACTGAATAAATTCCCCCCAAACAATGTCCAGGAATTTTTTTACTTTCGGTCCCTCATGGTCTCTGGATATGCCACTGGAAGCAGAGATTACTATCTCTGTAATACAACTAGTGTGCCAAGGTGTTCTGAAATGGACAGAACTTGACCTGTTGCCATCCATTTATTTCTATGCCACCTGCGCCTAATACTTAGATTTAAATTTGCTAAAGTCAGTAACTTTAGATTTTTCTAAATAGTCCTAAAAATCACCAAAAAATGCTGGAAATTTATCTTTTTGGCGTACAAAATACCCTCAACAGTAAACCACAGATGTTTTAAGCTTTATTTTCTTTGATTCTAACTTACGAAATCAACAGAAAAAGGCTAGGCGAAATAACTGTGTAAAACAAAACTAAACTAAACTAAAAGTTTCACAAAATTTGGTCAAATAACGAGAGTATATCAAGAGAGAATGTTTTTTAAGTTTAGATCGGAGCAAATTTAATTTCGGAAGAAATTTTGCGACCATCTAATTTTCTCAAAACATTTTACCCCTACTGAGCAGGATACACAGTAAATCTGTCCTAGGAAGGAGAAAAAAAGCATGAAAAGGCAGCATTGTAAAATATTTGGAACAAACCACATTTTCGAGATGGGTGCGGTGATTCTCTGTGAGTGATGAGTAGGTTGATGGAGGATTAGGAGCACGGTAGCATGGATAGCCTGGAAAGCAGGAGCCGTAACAGAATTGACCAGCATTTGGTTCCGTGTGTGAGTACGGGTTTGTATTAATTGTTGTTGCCGTGGTATTCGCACTATAAGATGAAAAGTTTGTGTCGTACAGATGTGAGGACGCTGTCATAAAATGAGACTGCAAGCTTGGATTGCAAACTGGACTGCCATCCGTTTGAGGTGTGCTAGTCTGAAAATCCAAGAGAAGGAAAATTAGCAAATGATCATCTTACTGTCCTGAGGGGAAAAGGTGCTTAAAATTGAGATATTGGTTTCATTTTAAAAACATTTCTCAATGATGAATGCCCAGAGGTAAACCAGAGTTTAAGAAAGATCAAAATAGACCACAAAACAAAATTAAACACTAGCATATTGGTTTTTGTCCAGAATTAAAAGGAAGAGAGGGGGGGGGGGAGAGAGAGGAGGCCTCAAGGGCATTATCAATTAAAAGGAGGAGAGGGGGGGGGGGAGGAGAGAGGAGGCCTCAAGGGCATTATCAAACTCTCTGATTCAATACAAAACAAGGATAGGAGAGTGAATGTACAAGTGGTCAATAAACTAACTTGCAGAATTATCAATGAAACTTTTCAAGACATGATTTTAGGCTAAAAAAATGAGTACATATTTACACTAATTGATAAATAAGAGCTTTGGCACATCAGAAATCAATTTCAAAGGTACGAGATGTGCTGTGATAAAAAGATGCATGGTAAAGAAGCTCTAAGAATTAGGAGCATCTAATTTTTCCAAAAAGTGGACAAAAAAAAGAGAACAGTTTTCTAAATAAAAGTCTAATTGAATGCAATTAATTTTTTCTGATTCTTTGAAATTGAAAGCATTCATTCAGTATCAAAGATGTTTCCTCCGAATCCAGGCCGAAGAGGAAAAGTTTACATACTTGAAATCAGGGGAGAAAAAAATACCTGACGATAAGAGGGAAACAAATCAAGCCTTCGCAGATTTGCTGTATCATTACTACTCTGAAACTCAAGGCTTTGATCGAAAAGATTTCCTCCTTCAGAGCCTAAATAACTGTTCGTTCTCTGAGAGGATGCAGACTTAAATGATGCTTCTTGGCTTAAATAATTCAACACATCTTGATTAATAGTTGACCAGGAAAAACTGTAAACCAAAAACAGGCAAAATAAAAGCAAAAGCACTTCAAGCAGTATATTTACAGACAAGCCACACTGGGTTTTATTGTTCATATCAAGATTACCTGCAACAAACTTGTATTCTCGGACAACTGAAAAAGGACTGTGGCTCATTCAACCTCATTTATTCTATAGCAAGCCATATGTAACTTTTCAATCTGAAGGTTTTTGTCAGTTTTTAGGGGTTATATTGTTTATATAGCATATTGGTGCCCTTCAATATCATCTCACTAATTTTTCACAATTTATCAATGGTCCAAGTGCAAAAGCACATAATAACTATATTGCAGTGTTTCAAAATTTTCACTCCTACTTTATTTATTAAAATAGGAACAAACCAATTTTACAGCTTGAAATGTAAACAGAATATTCCGTTGATAGAGAAGGAAAAACAAAGATGTGTTCAAGGAGGAAGTCTGCAGCATTGCGAACAGAGATATTTGGTTTCACACTTTGGCCATTGATATATTGATAGGTTAATGAGAGAGTAACTATGGAAAACACTCCAACATCTTTCTTCTGGGCATAATTTTGCTCACTTCAGAATAAGGTATGCGGTTAACATGGATTCTGATAGTCATAGTCCATTTCCTAAATCTTGATCACTCACTGCCTCTCTGGGTGAAAAAAGCATGCAATGGATTGTGATTATGTCACACTACTGCTGTGCTAGGGAAGAATACCATAAGAGCCTTCAGAAATTGCCAAATTTTCTTTGATAAAAAATGAATTTTCAGGGAAATCTGTGAATATTTTTCTTCGATTTTTCCACTTTTATTCGCTATTAGATGTAAATTATTTGATGATTTCAGGAGAAAATGTTCATAACTCTCTGCATAAATGAACACTTTATCAGAGGAAATTTAGTAACTCTCGAATGTTCATACAACATATAATTCCTTAGCATGGCAGACTACCAAATTCACACCACACTCAGCAAGGCTACGGGAGAAAATGAAAAGGGTCAGATGGATCAAATGGGCCTCCAGAGAAGAAATAAAATAAAACACTACATAACATTCCACCAGGAAAACGAAACACACCATGGCAAGTCTGGAAACCGACTCCTAATTAAGACAAAAATGTTTACGATTACCATTAGATATATTAAATAGAAAAAATAAAAATGACGACATTCATATAATCTAACATTCATTTGATCTATGCTCAAAATACTCCTCGATATCTTATTCAGGAGCTTATTTCCAAACTTTTTTTGTGTTTGTCTCGTTTCTTACGAGAAATTTTAAGAATAAAATGGACAACTTTTTCTAGTTCAGACTTTGTCTAGTGGCCCATTATGATCAAACAGATGGTAGAAAAGCTTTGCTGCGGATCAGCTATCTTCAAAAATTGAAATGCATCTATGTGCTATTGTGCTGAGAAGATGTGCGTAAATTAGAATTCAGCAGGTGTTGGAATTATACTCAAGCTATTTACAAGTTCTTATGTATCAGTGACACCAAAGCAAAATCAAAACTCAAGATATCGAAGGACATCTCTAATGCATCCACCAAATAGAAATCTAAAAACTGTTTTATGTGTGCATCAATTGAAATTGAATGGACAGAGTTTAACAAAACACATCAAATTGCATTAAGTTTGAAAACAGCTAAGGAGGTTTGAGGTTTAATACATCCATAAGACTGAACATTATGGACCAATTTTAACGACTATTTTCACACTCAAAATATTTTTTCTCCTCTTCAAAATTATTGACCGGAGTAAATTTATGACTAGTTCAATTTAATTTAGAACTACTCCAAATTCATTTTCCTCCAAAATGCAACTCAATGCATTTCTGTTGAGCTCTGTCCAAATGTAAGAATAATGAATGAAAAGTAACAATTGAGCAGTAATTGAAGATGAAGAGCAATTACCTCTATTATAACACTGAGGCAGAAATTTTTGCTCTTAAAACAAGAAAAGACCAATACAGATCTACCATGGCTTTTAGAGAGAATTTTCAAGGTACCTATCTGCTGATTACCAGAATCAGGTATTAATCAAAGTTGGCATACTCCAAGGACCTTCCCAATAATGATATGAAAAATCCCTTTGTGTTTTGATTAGTAAAAGCCAGACAGAGGAAGAGAGGTAGAAAAAAAATTCAAACAAGGTTCGCCCACGACAATTCAGATACATAAGCTTTTAGCATTGGTAACTAAAGCACTTAAAGCTTTTGCTTCTCCCTTTGTATTACTGTCTGACATTGGCGATGTTGGCACTTTCTGATAGAAGTGGTCAAGGAGAGGGTGCATCATCCGATTTTTTAATATAATTTACATTCTGTAAAATAGTGAAACCATAACTTGTTGGGGAAATTTGTTTTTACATGACAGTTGTTTAAAATTTCACCTGTTAGACGCCTGTGCTACCAACAATGTGAAAATGTAGTTATCACGGGTTCAAAGACGTTTTCATTTAACTTTAACTTTATTAGCTCCTTCCCAACTTTCCCTGACTTTCCATATCGCAGTAATTTCTCTGATATTCCAAGTTTTCTAGACTGCTGGAAACCCTGAATTAGGCATCTATTTAATTATAAGGTGCTTGACCGAATGATATTGAGGATTCAAACATTCTGAGCCTCTTTTTATGCAAGTTTCAGCATCTAGCCATGGCCTAAAGTATTTTTCAATTTCAACTGAGTAGGAAATACTTGATTATTTATGATCATTTGAAAATTTGACCTGCATAATGAAACCCATACCGTAATGCTTGACTAAATAATTAAGCCAGCAACCCAACTGCAAAAATAAGCCTATGCCTAATGCCCCGACTTTTACGCTTTGAAAGTTGCTCATGTTGCAAAAAAAAAAAAAAAAAAAAAAAGTTCTTCATTGATTACAGATGATAGTGATTAAAGAAAAATATTTTCATGCAAAACTTAATTGTCTACATAAAATAGAAGAAAGTTTATGAATATTTCTAAGTACTTGTTTTCCATCGAAGAGGAGATCGATCTGCCACTACCGCAAGAGGTTGTCTGCGAGGCAATATCACTTGGCACATTCGCATCCCAATGTGTCAGATTCTGGCTGGGATCATTACTGCAATCAAAAGCATGGATTTTTAAATCATTAAATGATAGATACATGTTTTCCTATTATGACTTTTCTCTTCTGTTCTTATTATGGTCCTATCTTTTATAAATGTCGCAGTCAAATCGTCTGATCAGGCATTTCGTCAACTGCCTGGGCAAAATAGTCAAATATTCTTCCTGACATTAAGGATCTGATTCTGTTGCTATCTTCAAACAAAATGATTCTTTACTCATGCAGGGAAGAATTTTGTGTAAAAGTTGCATCATGCACATGGTTGAGTAAACTATTTCTAGTCCTTACAATTGCATTCACCTTAAAACTTGCAACATGTCATGAAAAATAAAATATTACAAACGGTGACAATCAAGGTATATGAACAGCATTTGGAGAGCAAGTATCACGTTGGTTTCTTTCTGCTGAATGTGATCAAATTGGGACATTACGCAAAAAATACTCATAAAATATACGAATGTGATTCTAGCAAAGCGGAGAATGTCCCACTGGAAAAGTATTTTGCCAGGATTACCTAGAAAAATGATTTGTTTCTCCTGAAATTTTAAAGGACTTAAGATGCTTGTTTGGCATCTTCAAATTGTATTTAAGGGCGGTATCAATTAAACTTACGAAGGTGATGGTGGTTTTGACATGTATTTCAGTTCATGAAAGCTAGGAAGGCGGTCAACAGGTGAAGTTCTGACAGAGCCATAATTCAATGTATTGGTAGTGCTATGATAGTCCGAAAATGCTGAACTGTAAGGGTCGAACAATGGTGGGTAGTGCCACATTGAATATGGATAGTACCCTTGATAGGCAGATACACTGCAATAAGAAGAGCTTTGCGTCAAGTTCGAGGGAGTGTATGACTGTTGACCTGAACTGGTGCTCTGTAAAGATAAAAATTAATTTTTAGCAAACTCACTTTGAGATTCAGTTACTGAAAACAGTTTCCTTCTTCAGCATCATAATATACTGTGTGATATCTACTTTTGATTCCTGCATGATCTCACGCAAGGATTCAATTGCTGACAATGGCCTCGCCTGACAATATTGAATTGAAAAGATAGATTTCAGATCACAAGCTCGATCCATAGACTCATTGAGAATCATGAATTTTTAGAAGTCCAAAAGCCACAAATTGAAGTGACCTTTTCACAAATCAGGCTGTCTACTGAGGTCCACAAAAATAAAATAAGTACTTTTTAGGTACTTAAGGAAAAATGTAAGTACCTCGCCTTGGGGAAAAATTAAGTACTTTTTCGCGACATGTCGTAATTCTTCGATTTTGGCACTGCCGCGCGCTTTACTTTGGATATTCCCATGGTCTTTTCGGCTGTTTCCGTCAAATTGAGGGAAATGCCTTGTTCCGCTCCTCTACAACAACTGCGCTCTTACGAGGTGACATTTTTGTACTACTACGCCAGACAGCCAATGCACAGAGGGGTACATAACTATCAGGCGATCGAATTGAATGCGCAGCGCAAAATGCGAAAAATTACGGACATTCCGCGAGATTTACATACTTTTAAGGTACTTACGGACCGACCTTAAAAAATGCGTACTTTTTACGGACTTTTTGGACTATACCGACTGGTAGACATCCTGCAAATGGTAGGTTACAACACCGTATTTCAAAATTCCATTATAAAAATCACCTTGAACAACAGAATTTAGAACCCATTAATTTTTTATTTCTTTAAAGTACTATCCTGATAGACAGGTTCATTAAGAGAATGCTTTTTCGATAGTAAGCAGTAAAGTATCTAAGTGCGGTAGGAGATTTATCAAATCCCTTCATTAAGAAATAATTTCTACTTACTGCTTCGTTTGAGGACAGATTGGGACAGTGCGGTGGCATTTGATACTGCCATTCTCGAGGGTTGGGATAGAACTCCGATTGATAGAATGATAGATCGTAGTTCCTGAAGTTTCCGTGAGGGCATGGCGGGAATGGAGTGGATGAATTCCTTGAAGAGGTTGATCTGTCCTGAAAAGGAAGCCAAAATGCAGTTAAAAAAACGTGCTAACATGTAAATGATACCTAAAAATCCTTCTTCACTTAATGACACAGATACTTAGGTGACATTCGGATTAAAAGAAAATAGATATAATTACCTGACTACAGAAATAACGAAATTATTAGTGAAAATTTGTATCCAACACTGATGGAACTCGAATGCCTCGGTTTGTTATTGTTATCACTTAACCTCAATATTGTCGGCACTATTAGGTAAACAAAGTGGCTCTTCCATGGTTGCCATGTCTATCAGATGCTCATTTTTTTCAATTATTTTGAGAACATATTTTCTTATTTAAGGTGGTTAATTTTTGGGTTTGTCATCTTTCAATAACGTATGTTATTTGATAGTAGTACCATCAACTTTACAGAGGGCTTGCAAGCCTCCTTTTTGTCTGGAAAAAACACACTACATATAATTGTTTTTCTTTAAATATCAAATTAGGCCCAGACAGGTGGAATTATGAAAATACCCTTTGATTCATGATTCATGAATATATCTATGTAAAATCCAATTTCATTATAGAGATTGTAGGATAAGTTGTCTCCCCCCTCCCTTTTCCTTTTCGACAGACACCTCAGTTTTATTAAACCTTATTCCCAAGAATTTATTATCTTCCTTACATACAGGGTGGTCCAGACGTGCCATCCCAAGTTTTTTTTCGGTCTAGGTCAAACGAAGTCCGGGATCGCGGAGACGAATAGAGAATCGACCACAAGAAATCTGCATCTCATCATGTCGAAGCCCCTTAGCCCCCCCCCCCCNCCAGGAGGTACTTGCGAGCGGTGATTTACACATTTACATCAAAATTAAAGCATGCATTTCTAAAAATTTCCATTCGCTGCCGCTGCAAATTCCAGTTAATTTCCGCGGGCAATAAAAGGCGCGCCCGAAATAGCGCCTTCAACATGGTAGATATACTTCAAACGCTACACCGTTAGACACACGTCCCGATGTGATGTGGAAATTGCCTACACTGCGCCTACAGGAGTGTCCATCGCGCATCGCCCACCCACGAACCGCGGTTCCGCCACATTCATGGCTGTGGACTTCTAGACCATGCTCCTTCCCGGATTTTCAGGAACTCATTCTCAGATAAGAAATTAAAGTTTTTTCCCCACTTTACCGGGGATTTTTTGGGGAAAAACGATATAACTCCCCTGAGTTTCCAGCTGTATGAATATTGAATTTTTCCACCTTTCATCGGATTTTTCAGCGATCATACAAATTATTAAACCCCAAAGCGTTCCTGATATCCATATTATCTGGCCGATGAAAGCTTCTCTACAATAATAATGATATGAAAATTCAATTATGTCTTTCAATCGGTCGATAATAGCAGTTCACAGGTGTAGTGACATAAATTCTAGGCGATAAAAGATGAGATACTCAGTTTTTTAAATAGATTCCCAGATTTTTCCTTAAAATTTTCGTTCCCTGATATATCCCTGTTGTTCCCCGTTTTTCCCGCAGCCTGATTGATGAAATTTTGTGTTTGTCGGGTAGACATTGATGACATAGGTTCAAAGGCGGAGCGTGATTGGTCGGCTATGTCTTATCGCTGCTTTGTCGTGCCTATGTCGGGTGGAACTCTCGACAAGCTAAAGGCACCTCTTAAGTTTCCGGCAGTATGTCGTCCATTCCACCTGACAAATGCACGTTAAAGCAGCGATAAGACTTAACCGACCAATCACGCTCCGGCTTTTAACATACGTCATCTATGTCTACCCAACAAACACAAAATGTCAACAATCAGGCTGCCGGCTCTAGACACGGGCATTCTATAATAATAGTAATAATAATAATTCTTTATTTTTTAAGATGATTTGCACATATGGCTTAAACAATGCTTTAGAGTATGCTATGTACTTACAAACAGATACAAGTTGCAAGTTGGTACAAGACAATTTCATTTTAAATCTATTTCGTAAATACAAGTCTCCACTAAGTGTATGTGGAGCGCAGACACACAATTATTTTCATTCATAGATCTTTTAAGACACATTCTGGACGCTGACTAAAAATCTGACGGCAAGAGGGATTACTTACTTGATAGTACTCGGAAGGGATCTCGAGGCCGTAGGCACGGTTATTCATGTGAAGCTCCTCGTCGCGTTCGCTGGACCTTTGCGTGTGAGAGGGCGCGGGGGTCGCGGAGTCGGGGGCGGGGGTAGGTGAACATGGGGGTCGAGATTCCGGGAGCTTCTGAACTTGCGTCTTGGTGAGGTTCAGCGGGGCTCCCGACTTGTCCTCCTGCTCAACCTTTCTTTGGGCTTTTTTCACACTCTTCTCTTCGTAGAGTCTCCTCTTAAACTCCCTCACGAACTCTTCGTCTCCGTCCTTTTGCCTCTCGATTAAAAGTTCAAGATCTTCTCTCTGAAAAAAAGAAATGAAATAAGATAAAAACGAGAAAAAAAGGATCAATGAGGGGCTTGGGAGACAAGGCGCACAAGTTCACTTTTGGGTACTTCGAAAAAATGAGTTTGAGGTTCTATATTTTACTCGGACTTATTGAGTGCTACAGATACCTTTAAACTTGACAGGTGTGTTTGTCTCACACCTTCATGAACATCTTCTAAAATTGTCAGCACAGTTGAGCCCAATTAAGGCCAGCGGTTAGCTTTAAAGTGACGGTAGATCGCAATTATCCCGCGTCCCCTCTAAACGGAAAATGCACTTATCCCATTCGCTGTTTCCTCCTTGTTAAATGACTTCCAGACAAAATTGCATGGTATTCTGATAGACCTTATCTTCAACCACCAAAAAACACGCACAACTCAATTTTGTTCGAAGACATGCTTCTGAGCACTTGATTTTATTTTTATTTCCATCATTCTTTTTTCAACACGGAAAAACACAAAATGGTCCGGGTTTCGGTTTTCCCTTCGCCTTTCCTTCCTATTTTTATCTAATGTGATTTAAGTGAGGTCCAGTCGTTTTCTTGTATATCACCTGTTGAGATACAAGCATAACGAGCTATGGCACGCAGCTGAGGCGACTTGGGCTCTTATCTCTAGTCTCAAATTTCTAAAACTGCACTTTATGCGCCTTGTTTTCAAAGCCCCTCAGAAAGGCCGAGGTTAAAAATATCTATTACCGATTGCGAAGTTGCAAGTCTTCGCTCACGTTTTCTTTTTTAAGAGGAAAACTAACGGGGTTGGTCAAAATTTTCTGTGAATTTTCCTCGCTCATTCCAAAATATTCGACTATAATTCCAAGGCGATATATTAGTCGTTTTTTTTTTCTTTCTTCGAGGACATAGAACACACTCAAAATATTTTTAAACGTTGCACTAGAGATACTTATTTTGATTTTAGCTATCGATTTTTATCCATTCAATAAATTGAACTTGAGAAACTTGAAGTCGAGGTACACATTATTTGAAGGAGTTTAGTTCGTTAAAACAATATTTTGACAATCGCTTACCCGAGCGGAATCTTACGTTCGAAAAGATTATGTCATTGCGTAGCCATTTCGGTCAGAGAGTGCACAGCGCAAGAGATAAAATTTAAAGTACGACTTTTAGACACGGGGAAAAATTTAAATGGGAAGATTCTTGGATTTGCCTCCAAGAGGAAATTTCCTCTTAAGTTGTGAAGAAAAGTGCTTCCATCAACAAAAAAATCGCTTACGTCCGGCTTAAATTGATTCGATTGATTTTATGATTTATTCAAGAGAGGATATTCTTGACGGCAAATACAGGAATATTTCCGCTCGTTAGGTAAAAAGAGTCGTTTTTTTTTACCTCGGTGGGGGATGCCTCTAAAAAGGAGCTGCAGGGTTCCCATAATTTCTTCACCTTCAAAGTCCCTGTCTTTTTTTGCTTTTCCCAATCTCCAACATTTCCTAATTTCCTGAAAGACTCTGGACCTTAGACAATAACTTCATCTATTTTTGTTTAAATACGCTGACTTCCGTTGGACTTTTATGGGTAGGTATTGAGTAGATATGTAAGAAATTCCCTGACTTTTCCAACGAATTCCCTGACTTTCCCGGTTTTCCAGACCGCCGGCAACCCTGGAACTGGGAGTAAGATATTTAAAATGCCTAACGAAACCTTTTGATCACTTAGAATCTCTTTCTGTGATATGTCTTAAAATATGTTTATAGTCTCCTTATTCTCTCATTCTACTCTCTTGCTTTATCAAGTTTCTATTACTTTTGCTCGTGCATCCGCAAATTCTCTCCATTAAGTTTCTCAACATCAGGAAAATATTTTGCTGATATCTCTTCATTCTCATCCTCTGCTTTCTTTCAAGTTTCCATTCTTTTTTCCTTCTGTTTTCTGTGTTAAAACCCCCAGCATTATCGGCGATCTGACGGAAATATGCCTCGAAGGACTTGAACGCTCGGTTATGAATGCTGCCAACACAAATTACATAGGAAAGGTCGAAAAACACCGTCCTTGTTAACGAGGTTTTGCATGCAATGCTAAAAACGATTCGATAGTCGAACGATAAATTGTTAATTTCTGAATTTCAGGACATAATACTAAAATCCCATGAGAGTCGCATCAGACAGTGAGGCGTCAAGTATTTCCACACGAAACTGATCAAGAAAAAACTTTGATATTGCTCCGAGGGCACGAATTGGCGAATCCAGCAAATTAGCGACATTGTCTTCTCTCCATTTAAACCTATGGAAATGTATCGATTCTTGGAGGGGCCAGGTGCTCCTTCAAAAATCGATTATTCAGCGTAAGTTTAAATGGAGGAAATCCGGTATTGCCAAATTGCTGGATCCGCCTGTGCGTCCTAAATGATAATAGCAAAGGGAGTGTTCATAAATTATGCGTAACGTATTTTTTTGGCATTTTTCACCCCTTCCTAATCTTCGTGTCACAATGTTATGACGTAGCCCTACTTTTTAAGACATAAAGATAAAATGGCGTAATGCTCTTCCTCGACTCCCCTTGCCCCTGTAGAGCGTTAGGTAATTTATGAACGGCTCCAAATCGCGAGACGAAAAAATGGGTGATATTCGCTCGAAATGTGCTTTCAGAGTTGTTCCATCATCATTACTTATTATCATCACCATCATCTCCGAACGATGTGACCGAATTTTTTTTAGCAAGAAGTCTTCTCAAATTGCAAATAAAAAATGCGTTGTTTCGGATGGAGGAAAAAAAATAATTCACAATTTTGCAACGAAATTCTCATAGGTTTGGGAGATTTCGGAATAATTCGAGAACTACGCCCAACTCTGGAAACCCTGGAAAAATCCGGTTGAGTCCGCTTGACCATGCGACCGATTATACGGTTTCATATTATAGCCTATGGGTAGACGTATTCTGCTGGAGTCCTTAAAATGTCGTCTTCAAGCATTTGTCCGTGGACGTCAAAAAGCTTTACTTTTGCTAAATTTTTCATCGACGGTGCAGTTTCTTGGGTTCCCTGAGCATTTCATTTTTTCCGAATTGAGGAGTTTTCATTCTTAAAGACTCAGTTCTGCTCCTATTCTGCCGTGCTAGAGAGGAACGCCGCATAAACCTTCAGACGCTGCCAAACCTTTGACAAATTACGAATTTTCGGAAAAATTTGTAGATACTCGTCTTTCGATTTGTAGAGAATTTTGTCCGTAATTTGATCGAAAATGTGTGAAAATTATAAGGAGAAATATTCATAACTTTCTTCAAAAACAAATATTTTCTGAGTGGAAAGGCAACGCCTGGAGGCTCATACTGCGTTCTTCCTTAGCACGGCATCGGTAGTGTTGTGAACATCGATCCCCTCCTGACCGAGAACAGAATTCAATACTGTTATCGCTGTTAGCATCCCAACCGTGGCATCCGGCCTCTTCTCGACTAATTTTCCGAGGGATGGCTAAATTGCACACCCGGTTGCAATAAAACTTCATTCCCGATACCGAAAGCGACCGATTGCCTGCNCTGGCTCTTCCGACAACGATGTGACGTCGCATCGGGAGGTCCCGAGGTCCGCGCGCCCGGGCAAACGACAAACAACAGACAAGACTTTGTTTTGCGCAAGGAGCGCGACTGCGGTGGGGTCGCCGCCGTGCCGCGTCGGATAGTCGCGAATTCGCGATTAGAGCCCAAAGGGACTCAGGTCGCATTTAGTCCCTCTCACAATTGGACTTCATTTTGCAATTAGGAACTATAAATTCTGGCTCATCCGAAAAAACACGTATGTGCATAAGGAAACTAATGGTTCATACGTTGTTTTCTTACTGAGTCAGAATTTATAGTTCCTAATTGCAAAATGTAGTCCAATAGGCATTTGGCGGATCTCAAAACACAGTTGTAATAATTATCACTCCACGCGTCGACAGGGTGTCTTTTGGTATCCTATCATGCAAATTCCTTGCTAATTCAGTACCCTTCCCTAGCTTATATCTTACTTTCCCAAAAATTCACTTTTTTGGGCGATTTTTAAAAATCTTTGCTATTTCCTAACCTTTTTTTACTTTTAGCTCACCTCACACTCATTTTTAACTGTATTCGGATTGGGAAAGTGGGATGATGGAATGACAAAAGGAATAAACCGAAAATCAGGGAACCGAGGAATCGAACCGGGGACTTAATTAATGGAAATCGCATCCGATGCTACTTTTTAGAGTTTATAACGAAAATCTCGAATTTCCGCACCTTTTAACGGATATCCGTACCTTATCCACTCCTCAGGACCGACCTTCAGGCCAACAGGTCAAAAGTAGGAGTTGCTGAACAAAATTCTCCGAAAATCAGTACACTTTCCAGTTTTTGCGCTATCAATAAGGTGTAAAATTTCAGGGTTTTCATTATTTCGTCATTTTCAAATTCCCTGACTTTTCACCTTCTTTTTGGCTTTTCCCCGACTCCCAACATTTCCGAGCCCCCTGACTTCCGGATGAAACTTCCTCCTGAATTTTTTTCTTAAATTAATACGCGAACATCTGCTAAACTTCGGACGAAATTTCAACTTTTGGAGATTCAAATTAAGTAGGAGGGTGCTAGAAAGTTGCTCGCGCCCTCTCGAATGGCGCCGGCTGAAGTAGCTACGCCGACGCGTTACTCGCAAAATTCCCTGATTTCCCTAGACTTTATCAGGTCACTGTACACTCCCTGACTATTCCTGGTTCCCGCATTTTCAGACGCCAAAGACCTTGTAAAATCAATTTAGGGGTCAATAATCTTCCAAGCTTTCCAAGGATTGCTAGATCGGGGTTGAACACCTTCCAAGAAAAGTGATTAATTTTTTTCTCTATATCTCTCTCTCTCTCTTCAATCTTCACAATCGGCCGAATCGCTATTTACCGTCAAAACAGTCAACCGAAGTTCCAATTTAATCGTTTTTTGGACAAAATTCTGTACGGATTGGCGAAATAGGCGGGGAACAAAATCATAATATCGCGGATGTACCGCACATATTTTTTTTCCCCCCCGGAAAATTTCGAAGATTATCGACACCTAAAACAATTTTAATCATAATTTTGGCGTTTCTTTCCAGGAGTGCAGAAAATGCTCGATCTCACGACAGTAAAAGGGCTTTTTAGACAAATAATAACTCCCCCCCTCCCTCCCCATAACACTTGTGGAGGGGGATAATTTCTCCTCATGGGACCATCTGATACCTCAGTCTACTCAGTTTTTAGTAGGTTTTTCACTTTCTTCCTTCCATTACCTTTTCCATAGAACCTTTAATTACTTCAGTCATAGCTTTTCTCTGTCAAAAAATGTTGAAGGGGCAACGCAACCTAAGCTAACTCAAACCTACTTCCTGTGTTGTGAAACTTTAAATTATAATCAGATTTGACAAAATAATATGAGGCTGTTGATGGCATTTCCATTGCCTAAAAACTATTAATAATCTAGGCTTTGGAGTGAGAGTGCGAAAAATTCAGAGGTGATAAAACACAGTAGGTATTTGATGGGCTTTCTATTTTCTTTGACCTAGAAAGATGTAGGACAGTCAGAAAACTTTGGGATAGCTACTCCAATAAATCATTCAGTCTTCCTGGGGCCAATCACAAGTGACTAAGTTTGGCATTGCTAGGAGGCCCTGAGGGGAAGAGGGCCTCTGAAAAGCTCGAGGATCTCTGGAAGGCTTGTGGTCCTCCCAGAAAAGTTATGATCAAAATTTGCTTTTCAACATCATCAGACCTGGAATTTACATGGACCCTTGGCCCCCAAATGTTTCCCTCCTTCACTTATGGAGTTGATAAAATCAAGTGTGTAATTCAGCAGACTTGCTAGCATTAACTTAGTCTTCAAAGACATAAAACTACTGAAGTTTCCCCATTTGAAGGATTTACCTGTGCATGAATATGGATAATGAATTGCAACAAAAGTAGGTGTGATTAGGCAAGATATTCCTCTTGGAGAGATACTGATTGACACTTTTAGAAAGTTTAATAACTTTTAAGTCTCAAAAATCATACAAATTCATTGATACTTTATACAATCTTACCAAAGTTGCAAGTCACATGACATTTGAACGCACAGCGCCTTTTTTTTTATCGTATAGTATAATTCATATGCAGTGCTTGCCAGCTTCCAATTCGATGGTGAGGCTAAAAAAGCACTATCTCAGTTGCCAATTTTATACACTATCTACATGGACTATCATCTTATAATGAAATACTAAGTATGAACCTACGCATTCATTGCAAACTTCCATGGCTATACTTCACAGCAAGAGGAATATTCTGATGAATTTCACATAAAAAGGTGTGGCTACTCGACTGAGATTTGTGCTTTCCTAAGATCACCACCAACTTTCACCTACCACTACCACCCTTCAAACTTGGTAAACAATCCAATTAAGTTACTGCCATCCAGTTTGTAAAGCAATACTTGCAAGATAGGTAAATACTTGAAAGTTCTCTGAAGGCGTGTACAGATTTCCTCTGATAATGAAATGAACATTAGATGGTCTCATAATTTGTGATTACTTCATGATTACTCTGACAAAATACCTGAGCATAGTTGGTGCAAGTGCTGAATGCCAAAAGTCTAATGCATTCAAAAGATTCCGAATAACAATTGAGGGGCTTCGAGGACAAGAGGCGAAAGTGCAGTTGTTGCCATTTCAAGAAATACATGTTTGAAATTTTGAAAATACATGGACCCTTAGGGCAGAGAGAAAGTTCTAACTGACTTTTGATGCTCATAAATTGGAATTTGAGGGCGAGTTTTTCTCAGAATATACATTAGGACTTGTTTCACTTGAAATCATTAATAAGTACCTCAATTTCTCAAACACTGCACTTATGCGCCTTGTCCTCCAAGCCCCTCAATGGGTGTTACTTCCCATTAAACCATAGGTAATTATTATGGCAGAGAGGCAGTACAAAAAATTGATTTAATTTGGACATTTCAGTCAGCGTCAAAATTGATGTTACTTTAATCTCTTTTCATCCTTCAGTTCAGCCAAGGTGTGATTTGAAACAACCAGAGTGAAAAGTAACATTAAAGTTAATCGTTGAAGAGATAACAAGTTCTCGTCACATGGAGGGAGCCCACAAGAATTCTGACAACTAAATTATTGAAAATATGATACCTGCTCAAATTCACTAACACTTAAACAAGGGTGAGAAAGTAATATGCTCACAGTTTAGAAAAGTCTACATACCTTCAAGTTGCCAGGTAAATTCAGTGACACAGCTACTTTTTGAATATATCTGTACGGAATTTTCTTATCTGCAGCCGACTTCTTTGACTTAGGAGCAGATTTAGTTTCTCCAACCTTATTTATCCTGCTGGAAGAGGGATGTGGACGAGGAACTAGTCCGGTGTTTACAGGCACTTTCATTCTCATGATTCGAAACAGTCAAGGATAGGCTTATAGAAAAACACATTAACGTAGCGTAAGGAAAGGGTTGTAGCTCGATAAGTTGCTTCCGAATTAGGACAACATAATCGTGATGAAACAGAGGAGGAATATATTTGGGGTAAAGATAAGTTTGAACCACTCGAAGTAAGATGAAAGTTAGGCCTGGAGAGAGCCCCAAAATCGGTAACTTCAAATGAGACCAAAATGTACTACCACGCTCAGTACCGAGGGATCAAACGTAACACAGCCCGAAATTGAAACACTCGAGTAGAATCTCTTGGACGATGGTCAAGAGCACAAAAGAAAAATGAAAGTGGAAACTCTGGAAAGCGACAGTAAAGGCAGAAGTTGGGATGCACTTCACTTCACGGCACGCGACACACGTCTAAACAAACAATGGCATCCACAGATGAATGAATGATGAATGAGTAACCCGGCAGCATGCTGCATGTCAGCCATGTGGCGGCCGTTTTGCGCGCGCAGTTCACAAATCATCCGTCTGCATCAGCGCCGCACAGTGGTGCCTGATGCAAGCTTTTGGGAGAGGCCGAGCAAAGGTTTTTTGACTAGAGCGACACTTTCTTTGTTTATTTTGTCACTTTGTACATTTTAAGTGGTGTTTCCTAAAGAAAATCTAAGAGCAGACCAATGGAGCCACTTTTGAACGTCAACGTTTGGTATTACCGAATTTATGTATGTATTTTTTTTTTCTTACCATCCATTTAAATAATGACGACGTTCAAGTTTGCGGCACATTGAAGACACCCTAAACCTACAACAAGATCCAAAAGAGGACCTGCGAAATGATTGCTCTTGAAACTAGAGAAATGGAGATAAGTAAAACTTTATCCATGTTAGAAATCTGGTATCAAAACGTTGTGCAATCCGTAAAGACAATCCAAGCAGTTTTCGGGAAATTGACAATGTCGTTATAAAAATTGATAATATTTTGTGTTGGTTTCACTATCGGCACAATACATACGCAATGAAGAAATTTAAGGTCCTCAGAAACATGCGCTAACACACGGGACTGACACTAACAATAAGTGAATTTCATTATAACCCATTGATGCAACTATTCGGGCTCTACGGATGTCTGTGTTGCATACGCCCGGTATTGAAGGCGTTTTGACTTGCCAGGCACTCTGGCACTTCCCGTTTGACTCGCACCGCGGTGGCAGGCTGAATGAGTTCAGGGAACTCAAAATGACAGGGCGCCCCTCTTTGCGATACAGATTTCACGATAGAATTTCAATTGTCTCAATTTCTATTCATCCGAACATTCGAAAATGGACTTAGCTAGGGCTCCTCTTTATAATCTTCATGTTGTAAGACTTCAAAATAAATGATAGGTACTGGTACATGTTTAAATATCACAGCGAGGTACGATCAAAATTTTAGCTCCCCTCTTTAAGATTATCGTTCTCCTAGAATATTCAGAGCTTATTTTAATCGAATTATTGTACTCATACATACCTTGAAGCAATTTGGCTGTGAGAGTGGCCTAATGCCAACCGGTTTCCCGGTGCATAAACTAGAACAAGTACAAAAGGCACCTCGTGTGTTTGTGGGTTCTTTCTTTTTTTTTGTATTTTGTTTTTAATAATGCACATAAAATGACTTTCGTTAACGTTCCATTCAAGTCGATTGTACAAATATTGGAGATTGGGGCAATGAATGGGCTGCAATTTAGAGCCACAATCTCTGTCTCAGTTTAAAAACGACGTACATACCATTAGTTTCCCTACAGGCACATCATCAATAAAAGCAGAACAATTTGCGGAACGTGACATACCCACCGATTGCTCGATCGATTCGTGACAAGTATTCAGTGCGCCTTCAATGTGATCGTTATGCAATTAGGGAGAGTAAAATAGTTGGTTAGTTAGATAATTTATCTCGAGACATTCAGGACCGTAGGCTATTAATGCCTTGACAAAAAATATGAAAGATGGGTGCATATACAAAAATCCAGATTTTTAAATTCAGGGAGGCAAAAAGTTTCAGCATTTCGGTTGTGTCATTGGATTCATCGCAGGTTAGTGGGTTTGTTTTCCTTTTGGCAAGCTGTGTGTAGTGTACCATGGTGCACATATTTTTTTTTGATGCTGCAGGGGGAAGTTTGATTCGTGCTATCAAGCATTCAGTTGGCACCATGTAAAGGCATCCTTTAGCATACTAATAGCCGCTCCTTAAACAGTTCCTTTCCTTTAAGAGACCGTGCATGGTTTACATTATAATTAGAAGTAGTTTCAAGAATTCGCTTAACGTAGCATCAGGAAAAGTAGAACCTTTAAAAGACTTGGGTCAAATGCAACAGTTTTACTTTGCGGATAAATCCTGAAAAGAGATCACAATGATTTAACATTGCAAAAAGTGCATAATATGAGAGAAAATATAATGCAGACTGTGTACATTTTTTGGCGAGTCTCCACCTCCCTTCAAGTTTATCGAAATCACCGAGTCTTCTATCACGTACTATACCAATAGCCAAAGTGCGAAACCACGTATCTCCATTGTTGTGTTTCAAAATTTCCGCTCCCATTTTATTTTCTCAAGGAGGAGCAAGGCAATTTTATGGTCGAAATTTTTACAAAATAATCTGTGAACCGCGGAGGAGGAAAATCAAGAAAGTTTTCATCAAATTACACTGGCTAGCTTTCGAAGAAAAAATGAAGTATGGCAGGAAGTCTACATTGCCACAAATGGAGATGTGTGGTCTCTCTTTTTGGCTAAAATAAAAAATGAACTTTGGCTATCGATAAATTTTTGGGAAACCACGGGGAATTCATTGTAATCCCTTGAGAGGATCTATTTACAAAGTTAACCCTCAGATACCCATAAATACGGGTCAAATTGACCCATACTTAAGTATATTGATTTTGTCAGTTTTTGAAGTCTTCTCTGTGTTATTTCTATGTTTTTGAACGTAAGAAATACTTTTTTTTTGAAATTTTCACCGTTTTGGTAACATAATATCGCTTTCTCACTTCTCATTCATCGCATGTATCTCCCCCAGAAGAGAATGCTGAGTCAATTTGACCCGGCTTTTATACATCTTCCCCCGCCCTCTCCCGAACGATTTTTGATTTGGACACATCATTAAGCAAAATAAACCTTAATTCTTTTCAAATTTCAAAAATAAGAGACACCTGGACGCGGATTGATGACAGCGTAGAGATACAACTAATCGTGCTTGAGCCATGTTGCATAATGGGCGCAATGGCGCGAGGCGTAAACTCGTAATGCCCCTTTCTACACTGCCAATGAGGTGTCGCTTAATTTTGCGAGGAAAGTTGAAAAACAAGGCCCGATTACGTCTCTCATATCTTCGGCTGTGCCGCTCAAGTACCCCTTGAAGCACCACTATAAAAATAAGACGAACGGATTCAACACAATATTGAAATAGAACAAGAGTAAGGACGCGTGTTGATGACGGCTCAGAGATACAACTATTCGTGCTCGATGGATGTCCGTGTTGCATCTACAAAATTGAAGGCGCTATGAGGCGAGGCGTGCGAACTCTGAATTCTCCGCTTTATGCTGTCACTGAGGTGACGCTTGGATTCGGGAGAGAATAAGGTAAAACAAGGAGGCCCGAATACATTTCTTCTATCTTTAACTGTTTCGACACTCAATTGTATTCCTTTTTTTTTCAATTTGATGTAGGAGATTTTTTTAAGGATGTCATTGTTTTTAGGTTAATGGTTTAGGTTGACACACATCTAAAACTCGCATGCGCCTGCACTTTAACTTCCCCAGAAAAGACAGTCGGATCAATTTGACCAGGCTTCTTTAGGGTTTTCTCAGGGATTTCTAGGGCTGGTTGTCGAAAAAAAGCCCCTGTCACTGGATTTTTTCTTTTTTCTCAATTTGATGTCTGATTCTTTTTTTACGAGAATTTTTACACCTTTTTTTAAATCTAGAGCTCGTTGTACGGGCCCTATACAATCCTCGGGCTAAGTGTTTTTGGCAAGCCTCGTATTGATTTTCTTCCCTTAAAGGTGTTTCAACTTGCGGTATCGGTGGTTGATGAGACAAACCGGGACGGAACTTCCTAAAGAGGCTCGAAACTTTAAATAAAATTCGCTTAATTGGGCTAGGGTTACTAACAAATTGCTCAACTTTTCGGTCATGAGTCATCAATTGGCGAATCTGAGTGTTGACTTCCGAAAAGAAACTTTGGCACTGTAGGGAAGACAGCAGTGCTGGGTCTCTAAAATATATCGTCTCTGGCTCCATTGGCTCATGAGTTGACGCAATGAGCACCTCACAGCAGTGCCAATGCAGAGGCACCAGCGACACCCATGCAACTGGTGCCCACCAATGCTCCAGCTATTTGTCGTCATGCTGTTTGCCCCGCGCAAAAAATTGGCTCGTCGGATAGCTTATGAGCCCGGGTTATTTTGACAGGTGTCCGTCAATGTTCGCAATGGCTATTTGTGCAAGTGCTCGTATTATTCCTTCGTCCTCAGCACTGTGCCCTTATAAAACGGAATGGAGGCATTTAACTGCCGAAACTCTCCCTCGCAAATAACACCTCTGTGCCGCTATATATTCTACCTATTTGTTTGCTTTATTTTATTGATCATTTGTCGACAGCGCGTCACCTCTCCGACTTTTCCTCCGAGCTCCACAGTCAGTTTTGAGGAAAATCCCTTCGTAGGGTTTAACTCTGGGAAAGCTCTTCGCTGGCCCTGAAAGCCGGCGACCGTCCTTCGTGCGCTCTGCACAGAGGTTTTCAGTTTGTGCGCTCATTTTGGATTCACGTTCATTTATTCAACATCGCTGCTCGACTGAAATTATTCTAGTTTCCATCTGTGAAAGGAAACTCACTCGAGCGGATTTTTAGTGAGTAAATTTAATTTTCTATAATTTATAGGAAAAATTTAGAAAAATAGAGGCTGGGCTTTAGTGGACTTCATTTTTTAAAACGGAACCGCTTTATCTTGCTTATAAACAACTCCATAAAAAAACTATCCATAAAAACAATTATCCATCAAAACAACTGCTTATCCATAAAAACAACTATCTGTATAGAAAAAAACAATGACGCATATCATCCCATTTATGTAAGTCCACTACCACGTATCTCGTTTGCGGTGTTTGAAAATCTCCGCTCCTATTTTATTTTTTCTAAAAGGGCACAAATCGACATCATTCCTTGAAATCCCTGCAGGGGTTTCTTTGTAAAGGGAAGACAAATCACGGCAGTTATTAAGAATTTCCTTTTAGTAGTTTTCAATTTAAAAAATAAAGTTTGACGGGAAGTCTGCAACGTCACATACCGAGATACGTGGTTGCGGACTTACATCGTTGATATCTGAAAAGTGGAAATTCAAAAGCAGGAAGCGCCATCGGATATTGTTAAGATTGTAGATCATCTTCATCGCAATAAAGTAACTTAAATGCCTCGTCTCCGAATATGTTTACCAGGTATATTTCCCTTTAATTTTGGTTTCATTTTCATGGCAAGGACTGCTATTTTCAGATCCCCATTAGGTACATGAGCCGCATGGTTGCACGATCTTAGCGATACCTGTTGGTGCTTACCAGGTTTTCAACTTATCATACATTGTTTCTCAAATGAACCAGAAATAGTGGGTGTACATTGCAAAATGTGCAAATACTGATAGACTCAGGCATTATCTATCACGGACAAAATAACATAAATCTCATTTTACATTACTAATTTTACTCTTATTGCAACAAGAGATGTACTTTATGCACTTGATTGAACGGAAGCTTCCTTTTAAAGCATCAGGTTCAATTCATACGGATGGCGAAACTATAAAGAAGAAATAATGTGACGACATTGACCACCAAGTAATATTCTTGTGTGAAATTTTTAGAAAATATTCTCAGTTGGTGTACGAGAAATAGCGTCAAATCTCACAAATTAAAAACCTAAACGGTGAAAAATCATACGTTTAGCATCTCGCAGGGCGCACTAAAACTCTTTGAAAATTTCGCAAAGTGTATACCTTAAACGTATAAATTGTATGATACCCTTATCAGAATGCATTTACCAGAATTAATTAAATATCAAATTGTATAAAGGATACCATGTGTGCGAATGAAAACACCAAAATCCCGCACGCAGTTAAACTGGCGATTCGGCGGACACAAATAGTTGCTTCAACATTCTATCTAAAAAGTTATTTATAAAAAGTCCCCTTCAAATTGAAAAGATACAATTTCATCGACTGCGGAGTTAAAATAGTTATCGCCGAAGGAACTTCCCACGAAAACTTATGGTTATGAGAACTGGATTGAATTGCGACGTGTCAACTGAGATATACTTTATGTGGACAATCTTACATATCGTAAACAGCAGTATGTCTACAGCTAGAAAACGGAGATTTTTCATTATGGTTGGGTCTCGTATTTCAACGGTGATGGGTTTAAAAACCAACACTCGGCAATTCTGCCCTCTTTCCGGGTTTTTTTTCGTTGCGAGAACTGAAGGGAGCGCGCAGTGAAATGAATGTCATTTGGTTGATAACTAAATACCATGAACTAGGATTGGACTGTATTTTGCAGTAAGGAACTTCTGTTTCTGATTCAGCCATAAAAACACTTATCTGCATAGGCGAACTAATGATACATACGTTGTTTCTTGAATGAACCAGAATGGATAGTTCCATATTGTAAAGTGTGGTCCAGTAGTCTAACTATGTGAGATGTTGCCTAATTTTCTCTTATATTGTAAGTAGGTGACAGAAAACTTTTAATCATTTTGACTGGATATTTTGAGTAAATGCGTTATAAATGGAAGTTTTGATGTCTTGCTGTTTTGTTTTATTGTAGAAAAAGCAAAACATGAGGAGAAATTGGGAATTGTAAATTGTTGTTTGACTGATGTTTGTTAAATCCGTCCAATGCGATTTCAAAGATTCAATTTTTATTTGAACTACATTTTGGAATAAGGAACTATAATTTCTGGCTCATACATAAAGGCACCTATTTGCATAGAGAGACTAATTATACATATGTTGTTTCTGAAATGAGCCAGAAATCGTTGTTCCCTATTGCAAAATATGGTCCATTTACAAAACATGGAGGGGCTTCATTCCTCCTCTAAGGGGAGAATGGAAATGCTTCATTGCAAACTGTTGCTAGAGTAAAAATGTTTCTTTTATCTCCCCCAATAGTCGCGAAGAGCACATACTGAAGGTATGAAACTAACTCCTATTTTCGTAATCTGCGTCAGCAACTAGCACGTCTATAAAGTTCCCGCGCTTCAAAAAGTATGACATGATAAGAGTATGACATCGATGACCAAAGTGCGAAACCGCGTACCACCGTTTACGACGTTGCAGACTTCGTGTCATACTTTATTTTTTCTTTGAGAACCTTGTCAACATAATCTATAAAAATAAATTCATTGATTTTTCTTCTCTGTTAGCAAAATATTCTGGACGAATTTCAACCCATAAATTGGGCTTGTCTCTCCTCGAAAAAATAAAATAGAAGCGAACATTTTGAAACTCTGCAATGAAGATACGTTGTTTCGCACTTTAGTCAACGATATGATTCTTATGAGCCGTCCCTGTATCACAGCTCTACGCAAAACTAAAAACGATCGTCGTCGTGTGTCACAGGTTTTGTACAATAGACGTTATTATCTGATATCCCCTCTTTCCTGTCTGCAAATCAAGTTTAATAAGTGGGAGTATTTTTGTTCTTTTTTTAAAATTGAGAAACTGTGTCGTATGATGCTTTTAACGTTTAGTTTTGCGTGGAGATGTGAGATCGGAATGTGTCATCTGTTTCGCATTAGGTCAAAAGTGACTTTACTCGTTCATCATGCGAATTCTCTCTGAGAAGTTAAAATCCCCTTCAAATTGAAGAGATACAATTTCATCGACTGCGGAGTTGAATTAGTTATCTCTGCAGGAACTTCCTACGAGTACGGCTGATTTTCGACACCGTTTTGAACTTGAACTTGACTTCAAAATCAGGAAAATGATATGTTGGATAAATGACGCTCTTTATGTTTTCTTTTTTGTTTTCAATTGAAAAACTACGATACGCAACGGCAGTCACGTTGGGATTTGTGAAGAGTTCTAAAACTGGGGTAAATTATCTATATCAAATTCAATCTTTCCTGTAGTATAAATTGTAAATCAGGCAGCTTACATAGATTGTGCATTCAGAAGTGATTTTTAGACTGTCCCGTTGCGCTCGTCGTTTTTTTAAAGCCAATTTCCGGACCTCCCAACTTCCCTATTCGCTCTGACAAAAGTTTGCAGTAAACGCATCTAGAAAAAAAGACTTATTTTTATTTAAGGGAGTGGTCTCTAAGGTCGCTGGATTTTGATTTCGGAACACCTGCCATGTACTTTTTTAATCAAATAGACGTATTAATGCTTAAAAGAACCATGTAAAAATTAATTTTTCAAACAAAAATTAATTCAATCGAAAGGAGCTATGTTTTACGCAAAATCTATACACATAGATCCCTTTCAATCATTTTCTAATAATTTAAGTACGTCCAAATGATACTTCTTTTTAGCTCGACCTGCAGAGGTCGAAGCATTGCAGCGCGTGATTTGTCCTCCGATGTGGAAACGTGTAGAGTTATCGAGGGCCTAGACTTGTTGATGAAATAATTAGGTGAGCAGTGCCCATAGTACGAGGTCTAGGCCACAAAGCCAAGATGAAACCAAACAGGAGAGAGCACCATTAAATGTGGTTTCTCGGAGAACACTGTTTACCGAGCCCATTCATTGTCACACGCCATCGCGCTCAGCCAGGAGCGAACGCCAACTACGCAAACAAACATGCATAGGAACCGGGTCTCGCTGACTCGCAATAACGCAAAAGGAGTCTTTCCGGCCCCAATCAAGCTTCATGATGTTTCCGTGTTCGGCCAGTTAGATTTCAGAGGCGGAACTAGGAACTTTTTACAGAAGAGCGGGGAAGGGTAAGGGCAGAGACAAGAGACCCTCCACCAGTATCTTGGCCATTGTGGAAGCTTTTACTTTCGGAACTTCAGCATTCTACTGTTGACTTACCTACATGGTTGATGTTCAACAACGTGTTGGCAGTTTCGTTTTGCAAACAAGCCGAAAACGGCCGACGTTTGGGAAACTTGTTTGGCTCATGACGTCATCCGAAGCTCATCATCGACCATGTAGGTAAGTCAACAGCCGAAACTAGGGTGATGACTGTTGCTCCCTAATAATTGTCCATAAGGAATTGTTGAAACCGCGAAAGTAAAGGCTTCCGCCTGTCGCTAGAAGGCCGCAGAGGAGGGTCTCTTGTCTCGGGGGGCACCTCACGAAAAGGGTGCTGCATAAAGAAGCACGTAAAGGCTCACTATCGAGTAGTTTAAGGGACACACTCGGCTCTAAAAGAGGTCTGAGGGGAAATTTTGAAAAAATGAGTCTCCTCGAGACCGATTTTGAGCTGTTCTTACTGGAGTGTTGACGGAAACACAATATCAAAGATAGAAGATATGTCACGTAGAATTGAAAAAATCCTTCTCGCTTTCTCGAGGTGGAAAAGTTGATTCCGGGGTGATGGAAAGGCCCTTTTTGGCTCCCCTTCAGCCTGGTTCCGCTTATTTAAGATTTCCTTCAGGAAATATTCAGTATACTTGATTTCGCCCTGTCCATTATTGAGCAGGTTTAGCGAATCTACATATTAAAACTCACACAACCGATTCTATCAGATTCTTATCGGGGATTTCGACCGGCGTTTTGGTAGTTTTAAAGATGTGTACGATTTTCTTCAACTGGTTGCATTATCATTATCGAACGGTTCCCATCAAGTGTATCCATTTTAAAACCACATGATCGTTGAAATATAATAATCAAATTATGCCGGCAATATTCTTCTCTCAATTTTACCCATCCTCTCTTTTAGTGCTGAAATTTTCACGCGGCACATCACATTGCGTCACATTCGGAGAATGATAAATATTCTCGAGTTGTGATTGAGGTGTTTTAACTTTTAGTTTCTTGTGTAGCCACTACTTCAAAATATTGTAAATGAAGGTAGTTACTTAGTCTTCGTAAATGGTCAAATTAAGGTCACATCAAGAAACATAGACCTCGTTTTGCAGTGAAGAACTACTCTCTTTGGCTCATCCATGGAAGCACCTATCTGCATTGGGAAACTTCAGGAACATATGTAGATTGCTCCCTAAGTGAGCCAAAAGTAGCAGTTTCTACGTGCAAAATTAAGTCCAAATAATCAATCACGGGGAAAAAATAATGATTGCTCCTACAATTTCTATAATAGATTTTAGGGTCCTATCAGTTTTCAAATCAACTCCGCCTAGAGGAGAGTTGTTTTTCTCTTGCTGGTCCCAAGCCCAGGAAAAGGAGGAGGGTTGTGCGTAGGGCTAGCAACCCTACCACGTAAAAAAAACAAAGCTACGAAAACCAAGACAAAGCCTCGGTACCCAGAAAACCCACGGATAAAGCGACCTAAAGAGTATGGATCACGGAAAAAACCCCAAAAAACCAAGGACATTATACTAGCCACATGGAATGTAAGAACGATGAAGAAGGCAGGGAAAATGATGGAAGTGGCCAAAGAACTGCAGAAATATGCCATTGACGCCATAGCCGTCCAAGAGATCAGATGGCAAGGAGAAGGAAGAATAGACAAGAAAGAATTCAGCATGATATACAGTGGAACAAGTGAAAATACAGGGCAATTTGGCACAGGATTCCTACTATCCAAAGCAGCAAGAAATACTCTCCTAGAATATGAAAATATCAACCACAGAATCTGCCGAATAAGAGTAAAAGGAAAATTTAGGAATATCACCATTGTGTCAGTGCATGCACCAACAGAGGAGAAAGAAGAAACGGAAAAGGAAAGTTTCTACGAGGCACTCGAAAAAGTGTGTACAAAAGTAAGCCAGCATGACATGCTGATAGTCTTGGGAGACTTCAATGCAAAAGTTGGAAAAAACGAAGACCAAAAACAAGTAGCTGGTATTCACACGCTACATGAGAAAAACAATGATAATGGTAACATGATGGTACAATTCGCAGCAAGAAATAAACTTTATGTCAAAAGCACAGCATTCGATCACAAAAGAATCCACCTTGGAACATGGAAGATCCCAGGAAGTGAAGAAGTGAATCAAATCGATCACGTACTAGTATCCTCAAGACATATGTCATCAGTAATTGATGTAAAGAGCTGCAGAGGGCCTAACTGCGACTCAGACCATTTCCTTGTAAAAGTTAAAGTTAGAGAAAGAATCGCAAATGTAATGAAAGGGCCCAAACATGAAGTGAAGCGCTGGGCCACAGAAAACTTAAGCAAGAATAAAGAATTACAAAAGAAGTACGTGGATGTCTTGAACAGCAAGCTAACGCAAGAAACAGATGGAATGGAAGGAAGGGATCAAACGCCTGAAGATATTTGGACAGTAACTGAGAAAGCAATTTTAGAAGCAGCAAAAGAAACTATTGGAGAAAAACGAAAAACCAGAAATGAAGAATGGTTCGATGAAGAATGCATGAACATCATAGATCAAAAAAACGACGCAAGAAAAAAGATGCTGCAAAGAAACACAAGAGGAAATGAAGAAAGATATCACAAAGCAAGAAAAGAAGCTAATAAGCTTCTTAGAAAAAAGAAAAAAGAAGCAATGATACAACAAATGGAAGAAATAGAACAATTAAGCAAGCAAAATGAAAGTAGAAAATTCTATGCTGCCGTTAATAGAATGAGAAAAGGATTTCAACCGAAAACAAGCGGGTGCAGAAGTAAAGATGGTCAGTTACTAGGAGAAGAAAAGGACATAATGGAGAGATGGGCAGAACATTTCGAAGAGCTGCTAAATGAAAAGGAAAGGATGATACTAAACGACAAAGAAACAATGGAAAAAGAAGACCACACAAATGAGGATGATTTATCACAAACACCAACTATAGAAGAAGTTGCGGAAAGAATCAGAAGAATGAAAAATAACAAAGCTCCAGGCGAAGATGGAATTACAGCAGAGCTCCTTAAAAATGGAGGACAAATGTTAATCAAAGAAATACATGAATTAATAAAAGCAATATGGAAATCTGAAAAAATGCCATCAAAATGGAATATCGGAACAATTTGTCCAATATTCAAAAAAGGAGACAAATTAGAATGCAAGAATTATAGAGGCATTACACTCTTAAGCACGGCATATAAAATAATGTCATCAATTTTAAATGAAAGACTGAAGAAGGTAGTCGAAAAGGAGATAGGTGAATACCAATGCGGCTTCCGAACAGGAAGAGGCACAGCCGATCAATTATTTGTGATCAGACAAACCATGGAAAAATGTCATGAGTACGGAATCGATTTACACATGCTCTTCGTAGACTTCAAGGAAGCATTCGACAGTGTCAATAGAAAGGCACTCATAAAGGCCCTGGATGAAATGAATGTACCAAGAAAGCTCATCAAACTTATAACAATGACCATGAGTAGCACCAAAGCCAAGGTTAAAATAGGAAATAAAGTGAGCAATGTTTTCGACTTTAACAAGGGCGTGAAGCAAGGGGATGGATTGTCAAGTACGCTATTTATAATAGCGCTGCACATGGCGGTCAAACATGTCGACCAAAGAGGGACAATATTCACGAAATCTAGTCAAACATGTGCCTATGCAGATGACATTGCCCTAATTGCGAGAACTAAAGAAAAATTAATAGAGATCTACAAAGAATTGGAAAAAAGAGCAAGAGATTTAGGACTAGTGGTAAATGTAATTAAAACCAAGTACATGATATTATCATCCTCAGAGTCAAGAAGAAAACCGCAAAACTTAATAATTGATGGCAAAGAATTTGAAGGAGTCAAAAAGTTCAAGTATCTGGGAAACCTAATCGATAATGAAGCCAGAACAACTACGTCCATTAAAGATAGAATACAAACGGGTAATGCAGCATATTATGCCAACTTGAGGCTAATCAAAAGCAGACTGATATCTCGGAAGACCAAGTTACAAATATATAAGACCCTTATTAGACCAATTGTTACATATGGCGGAGAAACATGGACTATGACAGAGAATGACAAGAGCATGCTGCGAAGATTTGAGAGAAAAATCATAAGAAGGATCTTTGGAGCCATCAAAGAAAATGGAGAATGGAGAATTCGAAACAACGGCGAAATCGACAAGATACTGGAACAAGAAGATATAGTTCGATTCATCAAATCGCAAAGAATTCAATGGCTAGGGCACGTTAGCAGAATGAAGGAGGAAAGAATGCCAAAGAGAATCATGAAAGCCAAAGTTCTATCGAAAAGAAAGAGAGGAAGGCCAGGGCTGAGATGGCAAGATGAAGTAGAGAAAGATCTCAGAGTAATGAACGTATCAGGATGGAAGGAAAAGACCATGGACAGAACAGGATGGAGGCGCGTTGTCTTGGAGGCCAAAGCCCACCCCGGGCTGTAGCGCCAGTAGTAAGTAAGTAAGTAAGTATCAGTTTTCAAATCATAGCTATACCTAGTTACAATGTCACATGTTTGTGGTAAAAATTATTTCGGTCCCATTGATGATGTAGCATTGACACAACAAAGGTAACATTGTAACTACTACTAGAATAGTCAGAGGGACCTGGAATCCACAATGAGCATTGTAACAATTCAATTTTCTCCGTGAGTTTTCACTGCCGCCAAGAAATTTATATAATTAAAATTTTTCTATGCGTTTTAACGGCTTTCTTCATTGGGAATCATGTTATTTAGCTTGTAATCCCTCCTTTTTCCAATGAGCGGATGTCAGACGAACTTAAATAACTTTTGGCTATAGTAAATAATTAGCTTTTATAAGGTAAAAAACGAATACTGAAGCTAAAAATATTTGAGTAGATAGATCCATATCGCCTCAAGCCTGTTTCTCATCGGGCCTAGTCTGGCGTCGCGCCGGTGATAAGGGCTCCACAAATATTTTTAGCTTTAGTTCGTTTCAATTTTCGGCATCCGTATTGCACCTAATGAAAGCTAATTAAGTGACCGAGATGGGTATAGCGATTTAAGTTTGACAACCGTTTATAAATTCATCGAGGGAAGAGAATGTTTCCGTCAATAAACCTGTTCTCCTCCTGCAAAATGTCACAGGACTGCTTGTTTGGTCGAACCTGCTCTCAGAATTCCAGAATTCTCAATCCATGAAACCGGTCTCCAATGCTACGACGTCTCGTCACTCATCGGAAGTTAAGTAGAAGAAATAGAAGCTATGATACGATTCAGAAAGCTAACCGTAAGTTTCTTTTTCTTTGTGTTTTTCTTTTTCCTTTTTTCCTCTTTTTCTTATTCGCACAAATAAGGGACTCGGAGGACAAGGCGCATAGTTTTTGAGGTTTTCACTGATCCCCCCCACCCCTAGCCACCCCGGTGTGAGACCCGGGTTCCCTAAAAGTACACGCTACTCTGGCCTATTTCCACCAGGCCTACCCTGGTTGAGCCCATGTTCATGCGGCGAGATTAGTGTGAGATTTTCAAATTGAAAGAGAGGATCTACCCACAACGGGATTTACCCAAAAAAAAAAAACAAAAAAAAAACAAAAACAAAAACAAAAACAAAAACAAAAACAAAAACAAAAACAAAAACAAAAACAAAAACAAAAACAAAAACAAAAACAAAAACAAAAACAAAAACAAAAACGTATAGTCTATTACATTGCTTTCATAATTGCGTTTTTTTCCTGCTTTTCAAAACGCGCCCTTTATAGATAGATACCTTTTCCTCAGTAACGTTAAAGTTATTTTTGCAAATATTCTTGTTAATGCAACTCCAATTGGAGTGATGTGATATGCAACTGTTTATTATATGAATCGATATATATAAGTTCTCTCGAAAGTCCCGTAAATCATTACACTGGCCGAAACATTTTTGTGCTGAAAAGATGCACATCGAACGGGACGTGTTCTCCTCAATACAGTAAGGGGTGTTCCACTTACACTGAAAGTCACTGTCAAAAAATAACTTTGCTCTTTGCTTTTTTTGCAAAAGGCAATGTAAAATGACAGATCTTTTATTTTTCCTCGGAAATTTCCTGCTTTCGTTTTTGAAAATACCCTCTGTAATTATATTACTTTACGTACTTGGTGTATTTTCCAAAACTTCAAAGCGGTAATGTTTGGTGGTTCCCAGAAAAAATTTAATGTGAACGGCTCTTTTGTAAAATGCTGCAATGCGGGTGCATACATTTCAATTTGAGCCTTAAATGTACTAATATACTGGAATAATATAGAAATTCTCGTATTAAGCTACTATAATCAACTATTTAAGAGAGAGACATTGAAAACGCCAATAGGGATAAGACTTTGTTTTGTGTGTATAATGCAAAAAAATTGAAATGAGCAGCCTGTATAACTTAACCGGAAAGTTATCCTCTTTGTCGTTGACAAAAAAGGACTATTTAGTAATGAGATCTCAACTATGAAACGCAATTTTTACAGCTTAAATGGATATAAAATCTTTTCATTGCAGGAATGGAGGCCAATTTTGCTGGTTAGCTTTATCTTCTTCCAATACTCAAAGCATGCACTCTCTCAGTCTTATGACTGTTCAATGTATAATGTTGTACAACAACCGGAAAATCAGGTAAATTGACGACCTATTTTGGTCTAGACATATTCTGATGACATTTAGGAACTATACTCTAAGATGTATTTTTAGGGCACTGAAGGAAGGAGGTAATTTATTTTCCTGGATTTTTTAATTTTTGCCCAAAAAATCAATGCAAAATCCATCGATGGCAAAACTAAGGAGAACCCAAGTATCTTGTTTGCGGTATTCCAAAATTTCCGATCGTGTTTTATTTTTTCAAGAGAACATCACCCGATATTTTGGCAAGACATTTTCAGGTAATATTCTTAAGAGGGTTTAGTCAAATTACAAAAAAAGTCTTGCAATATTCATTGGTTGTCTTCTTTCTAAAACTTGATGTATAGCTGAAAATCAGCAATCGCTCAAAGGTTTAAAAATGCGGCTTCCATTGTTTTACTATCCGCTTACCCTCATAATTCTTTTTTATGTTTAATAATTCGCAATTTTTAACTCGAGAAGGGCCATGACACCCTCCTCTGAGGAACCTTTAAGCGAGCGTTCAAATGTTACTTGCACATGTACATGTGTTACGTGTATACTTGCACTTGTTATGTGCCAGATGTTGGAGAGCATAGCATATCGACAGTGTAAGTCCCCAACCACGTATCCCGTTTGCGGTGTCTGGAAAACTCCGCTCTTATTTTATGTTTTTAAAGGAGAACAAAGCGACATTTCCTCAAAGTTTTCGCGGATTTTTTTTTTGTTCAGGGAAGAAAAACTACGTCGGTTTTAAGGAATTGCCATTGAATAGTTTTCCATTAAAAAAATGAAGTATGACAGGAAGTCTGCCGCGTAGCAAATCGAGATACGTGGTTTCGGACTTCCACCGTCGCACAGCGGATCGAGTTAATCGGAGAGGTCGGACATGAAATTTTTGACTAAAACTGCAAATTTTGATGTTTAATTCGTCACATTTCGAACTTCAAGGGGTGTTTCTAGAAGAAAATTTCACGAGAAAACCGATGAAGCCACTTTTAGAACATCTGAGTTTTGTATAAACGGAGTTATAAGCGTTTAAAGTTCCCAAATTTTGTCCAACCGCACCCACTGACTCGATCCACCGTGCGTCGATACGGCAATTATTAAAGGGCCGAGAGCCCTCTTATAGCAAATTCGTAATAAAAATCCGAAGTTTAGAAAAAGAAGACTTATAAAAAGCTGAACAGTGTCGAGGGCTCGTTGCTTCAAATTTTGTCTGACATGAGGTTAAATTAAAATAAGCGAATATTCTCCGGCATCGAGTTTGTTTTTTTTTGTAAGCACCAGTCCTTCTTTTTCACAAAAAAAATATTTGAAAATGCGCCTACCGTAATTTCTTTTAAGCTGCTCACGTTCGGGGTAGAGGGCTAATTGTAGCCCCAGTTTGACATGGGAATTGTGTTTACAATTGAATGTGCTACGAAGATAGTAACTAATACTAAAGTGAAGACGATCTTTTTTTCATTCTAGACCAGTGGAAGATGGTACTTAACAGCTGCTACCCCCATCCCTGCTGCAGGGCCGCCTGGTGTCAACACTTGTGGCTTGTTCGGTGAGTGTCTACAACAACTGTCTTTTCTCACGTACCTAAGCTTTTCCACATATAAAACTTATTCTGGAGGGAGCTTAAATTGATCATTCTCTATTTTAAACATCTACACATGAGAGAGCTTTAAAACGTAAAAAATAAGTGTGTCTGAAAGCAGAAATTAGACACACGTAAAAGTACCTCTTCCTCAACTCTTCCGAATATTGGACATGAAATCGACAAGAGATTTCATGATTAATTTCCACGACCTTCTCAGAAATCCCCTCGTCTAAGTTGAAGGAGGGGAGGGGGAGGAAGGGACTGGCATTTTCAAGCATTGTCACTCATGTCTCAAATAGGGAGATGGGGGTGGTACTTTTTCCTAAACAGGTAAGCAGCGGTGAGCAATACATCAAGTATTGATTTTTTTTTTAAAAAAAAAATTCTGAGCAAGGGAGGGATGAAAACTTGACTTTACAAAGTTTTTGCTTTGATCAGATTGCAGGATGTGCCCCCTTAGTTTTGTGCCGGTCTGAGTACGCACGGGAGATCGATTTCTGGAGCGGTTCTCCTGAGATTTTCCTGCAATGTTTAAAAATTCAATCGTTAGCGATAGTTCGGAGCATTTTCAAAAAATATTAGAGAGGCAAGCTTTTCAAACTTAATCTTGTGGAATTTCAGGCACACAAACAACTTTACATATGTAGATTTCATCGGCAGGTTCGTAATTCCAGTGCACGCGTCGTGGAGCATGCTGACAGCAATTTAAAAGGGCCAATTGAAAATAATAACAATATCGTCATTATGAATTTTGAGGAGGTTTAAAGTCCTAAGAGTTCAAACCTCCTTGAAAGCCTAATTTAAGTTAACTGCAGTATCGTCTATACCTCGACAAGCTCCGTGAAGAACGTTGGTGACGATCTTGATACGGCGACACAACGCCATTAAAAGTAGATAATTTTTATGAGGTTTTATTTATTTCAAGTCAATGGATTAAATTAATAAAATATATATATTTTTTTAGAAAAGGCTTAATTTTGATAAAAACGTGAAAATCTAAGAATTTTGAGAAACTTTTATTTTAGTTTGAAAGTTAGGATTTAATTTTAATGTTTGAAATAACAATTTTAAGTATTTAAAAGATCTATAAATAGTTAGTAAGTTAGTTGTTTTATTTATAGAAATTCAGAATCCCAGGCTATTAACGTCTTTACAAAGAATTTGGTGTGTGAAACAAGGTGTAATATTAACTATATGTATTTCTTAATAAACGTCAGAAAACCCACGATTTTTGTGCGGATTTCCCATCGTCGTGGCAAGTTGCTGCTGACGTGTGATCAATCAAATGATCAAGGTCAATAAAAGTAACACTCATGGCCTCTTGACCGGGTTGCTCACGTCTCACAGTGGATCGAGTCAATAGGAGAGGTCGGACAAAATTCGGAAATTTTAAACGATTATAACTCCGCTTATACAAAACGTTGAGGTTCTAAAAGTGGTTCCATTAGTTTTCTGTCAAATTTTCTTCAAAAAGCACCCTTCAAAGTTCAAAATATGACGAAATAAACATCAAAATTTGCAGTTTTAGTCAAAAATTTCATGTCCGACCTCCCTAATCGACTCGATCCACTGTGCGTCTGTTGAACGAAAATACGCGAGTATCACTAATAATTGTAAGAGAACGTAAGTAGGTGACGAGTGATGGTTAAATATTGAGCTTTGAACAAACTGTTTGTATCGCAAACAGAATAATGAGGCTCTAATTGCTTGCGACTTCGACAGTAGTGGCATGATCTCATGGGTTCCATTATGCCCACCTATATGAGTTTTATACACGGGAAAATTCATGGAGAGAGACCCAGGTACCCAGGTTTGCTTGGGTTCTAAAAATGAGCTATGAAAGAAGCAGAAGCAAAGAAATAGGGAAAAAACCCATGTCTGCTTATCAAGGAGAAACAAGCTGACATCTCCGACCCTCGGGTGCTGGATAAGGAAGCGATTCAATGTTCCCTCAAATAGTTTATCTATTAAATCGACCGGAGGCGAGTTGAAATATGGCAAAGTCGTGAGAGCAAAAATCCATATTTCTTAAATAAGCTAAGTTCTTTTTCGATATTTCATAAACTCACAATGGAGTAATCGATTAATCGACGTATACAACTTTGAACGCGTACAAAAACTGTTTCTTCATTGATAATTAATTACCCAAAAGTTAAATGAGATGCGCTTGAAATGAGCCCGGATTTTGGAAAATTGTTCATTTGAACTGGGGAAAACAAGAGTAGTATTTTCCCTGTAAAATCCTGACACGTTTTGAGGGGATACATCCAAAGAATTTTTGGTTAGGTACTTACCGCAAGGCAGGATGAAGCAATGATGACCCGTTCATATTCATAAATTCGAAACGTGTATCTCCCCGAGCACCTAAATATAGAGATGCGCTATTTTTCAAACTCTTCAATGATAACAAATCAATCAATGGCTTTGTTCTCTCTTTGGTTGTGAAATGTTCATGGCTGAAACACACACATTATTCTTCCGAAGATTTGAATACCTACCTAGACTGCAAAGCGAGACATTACCTCATTTTAAGTTTAACTCAGATACTTGAATTTTGATATAATCTATATAATATCGATGGCTAAATACGGACAGTGTGCATCTCCATTATATTATTTAAAATCTTCAGATCATGATTTATTCTCTTCAAGGAAAACAAATTAACATTCCCTGCATTTTTTCATTCTTTTTTTCTAATTTTAATGAGTAAAGCAAACTCAGTAAGACTTTCAACGTTTGTTTTTGGTTGGCTTGAGAAAATTACAACGTTGTAAACTGAGATACCTATTGTTTTACATTAGCCATCGAATATTAATTCTGAGTACCCGTGTGTGTAGTAGAAAATACTAATGAGTGTGCGATAGGCTCTCAATGTCCGATTTCCACATTCCAGGAAACTGCGGTGGATGCGGTGGTATCGGAATGGACATGTTACCCAGCGGAGTATCATACTCGTACGGATACAATCCACAGTAAGTTATCAAGTTATTGAAATCAAATTTATTGAAGAAATCTTTATTGCGCCGGAATATATGTAATTAATCAGATAATTTAATGTATGATATTAGCACAAAAACAACTAAGTAAAGTTCCGCGTAAAGCCATCATAGCATTCGACTGAAGTTGATGTGCGGCAATACTATTTAGTATAGAGAATTACTAAAAAAGTGATAAAGTCAAAGTCCAAAACGTCCTTCATAGTTGAGTTTATCAGAATTAAAATTATACAGCTAAAACTCGAAAAAAAATTATTTTCGCCGATGATTTCAATCAAAACCTGAGAAGCCAAAAAAAAAAAATACTTCCTCTACCCTAGGGTAGCAAGAAAGTAAAAAGGATGGTCAATGAACTCTGGGCTGCATCACCAGAAAGTCTAGAGACTATTACCGTGTTCCTATTTTTGTAAAACATGTGCATAGTTGATGGGTAAGAATTTACAAGGTTAATACCGCCAGAAATCCTGTGCTGGCTATTGGATTTCCTGATGATCACGTATTGCTAAAAATTTGGTAACTAACACCATTCTTTTGAAAGACGTCACTTACGGTCATATTTCAATACTGATGAGCAGAGGTAGAAATTAAGAGGGTCCGAAGAAAGAGAGGGTTGTAAATGGACTACATTTTGCAATATGGAATTGTTTTTCCTGGCTCATTTGAGGAACATCATATATGCCATTATTCTTCATGTGAAGGTAGGGGCTTTTATCAGTGAGCCACAGATGGTAGCTTCGTATTGTAAAATGTATAGTCCAAATGTGGCTCTCTGGCTGAAAGATAAATTTGGGAGCTCTTCAGTCCCTGTCTGACTAAAATTACCTTCAATGTCTGTACTATTTTCCTTCAGTGCATCCCTATCCAATGTAAAGTATTATTGAGAATATGAAACAGGATTTTTAAGTATTACTCAGTTTTAAAGAGGAGTGGTTAGAAACTTTAATGTTACAGTGCTTTGATTTTAATTTTGTCCCGATGACCTGTAGTCAAAACTACTTTTGATTTCTTACTTTGAAAAACGGGAATGGAAAAGATTGTCCAGCATAGGTATTCCTAGTATCGTCCGTAGGAATCTGTCTTGACGATTCATCGGTCAAAATGACTTTTGAAATTTTAAAGTTTTTCATTCTTAACATCACTTTTGCTGATATCGATGATCTAACGCTGTGGATGAAAGTGAGGAAGAACTGAAATCAGTCTATCAGAAAATCATAATTTTCATAATTAGATCTCCAAAAAGATAAATGTCTGAAGAGTGAAAACAGAAAATAGCAGATTTGTGAAATTTTGCCTTTATGTTCAAATGAGATTAAGAGGTAAGACAATACTCAATGACGCTATCAACACCATTCAACTAGATGTACCTTTGTTTTACTCTCAGGGGCTGTCCTTATATTACGTAGCGCTCTGGAGGAAGGGTAGGTGGCAGGTCTTTGTAATTTTGTGAGCCAGCGTCATAATGCGTAGGAAGGTGTCAAGCTCAGCGTTACAGAACAGCAGTGAGAAATGAGATACAGGATTCATGTTATTACTTGTATCTTTCATATAATTTATTTTTAACTATTTTTGCATCAAAGATACACAATTATTACACAGCAGCCCGTGACAATGGTAACTTGAAAAAATGGGGGGGGGGAGGAGGCGAGGCTAAAAATATGTGATAAACGCCGAGACGTTTTGACAAAACTAAAAAATATAAAAAAATTTCCGAAAAAACTAAGATCTACATGATGGTGGTCGAGCATAACAGACGAAAAACCGGTTTTAATTTTTTTTTTGGAAAGATGATCCTATTTTCTAGTGTTTTTGTCATGTATTTTTAGCCTTATTTTGAGGGCCAGTTTTGAGGGTGTCTGCGCCAGCGTCACGATCGCGTTGCATGGGGTGGGTGGGTGTCAAAAAATCTGAAAAATCCGTTTCGCGTGATGTACGGACAGCCCCTCAGGGGTCACTATCTGATGACATTGTGATCTATCATGTATTTTGTGAGTTTCATTTTTCATCTTTTGATCAGATCATACACCTCATCAGTCCGACAAATGACAAATCAGTGGGTGTCACCAGCCCTTGGCATTATGCAAGTTAACTTTTACAGTGGTAAGTTCCTAAATCATCCCTTGAGGCCATTACAAAAAACTCGAGGCTATAGAAATGTAACTGGCCCAGTTATCAAAAACTATCACTAAAAGCTCAAGAAACAAGTAGAAAGAAAAAAATGAGTAGGTGCATTTCATGGAAACACATGCATACACTGAAATTTATGTATAAGATATTGCGAGAAAAAAGTTCGATTATATGAACCAAAGTACAATGCTACGTTCTGTATTAGCCGCTATATTCGGTTTATGTAACTGTACTTTTAGTTCTGATAACCTCAGTTCATGGAACCGGGCTCTTTTTTACAGTTCAGGTCATGCTACCGAACTATATATTTTTACAGTTCGGTTGAATGAACCGATCAAGCACAGTTATATGTACATCAACCAAAAAGTACCGTTTATAATATGAGCCAAATATAGGACAACGAACTGCGGTTCGTATGACCTAGTCTTTTCTCTCAATGTTATTGAAACACCCCTAGTATGAGTAGAAACGATACATGACAGAGGACAGGCGTACTTACAATCCATTTTAGTGTATTGGAGTTTTATTACCTGCGTCGCGTTTTAGCATTGAATTATAAGGAGAAATATCATACTTTGTTTTTTCCCGCGAAAGAACACCGACTGTACCTCTTCATTCATGTTTCATAGAATTTTTCTGTACCCCGCAAAAAATATTTTTTGAAAGCTTCGAGCAAACAAATAATTGTTGTACAGTTAAAAATGTCCATGTTCATGGTTACTTTGGGTTGCTTTGAGCTACTTTGTTTCGGTCCGATTAACCGAAAGTACTTGGTTGATCGACTCAATTTTTGATTGAATCTATACCAAAACCGGCATAGGTTACTCTGAGACATCTGGGAATAAAAAAACCTGCAGAAATATATGCTCTTGTTTCTGTTGGTGTCACTCAGAGACTGCGACTTGCGAGTGGCTGGCAAATTGGAATTACATGCAAACGCGAACACTACGTTCGATCACGGCAGCTCGCATCTGATTTTTAACGAGGTCGCAAATTTTCAACCCAATGAATTGGTCAATGTAATCCGAAGATTTTATTTAAGATAACTCAAAGAAACACTCGCCAAAAAGTATAAACCACACATTTCGATTAATTGTTTTGCTACTTCCCATATCATATGTATCACAAAATGTCAGCTACTTTTTCTGTAAAAAATGAGGTGAGAGTGAAATTTTGAAATTTCACATTCGAGGTGCATGATTTTAAAGGTTTACCTTCCATGCATCGGACATGTGATTCAAATTAATTGTCATTTTTTTGTCCTTAACAAATGATTCAAAATTCAGTGATTTGGATCCAGAACGGAAATAACGCATAGTGAATGGGTCTATTGCACGCAAGAGATACAGCCAACTGCATTCATTACGTATGGGTAAATTCGCTCGAAAATCACGCTGGGCACATCGAAAAAGTCTGAAATCCCCCCTCTTATCGCGCAATCTGCGTAGCTTGTATAACACACGTTTTCAATTTACCGCGTATGCGGGCAATTTTCCTTCGTGGCCAGGCGTCGAGTTTGCCCGAAGAGAGACCTACCTTAAATAAACGAACAATCTCGCGAACTGTTAAAAACTTTCCTTGCGTAAAATTTCAATTGATTCAAAGCTTTTGTTTTTGAAAAATAAAGATTGAAAAAGGAAACAAACGCTTGAAAACGATTAAAATCATACGACGGAAAAAGTTAATAAACACGTTTGTTAATTCGGGTTCGTTTTCCGCCCTCATCTCATACCCCCTAATGGTAAATTAAATTGCTAGTTCCGAATACTGCTTACCTCGGAAAATAACGCTTTTTCAGGACAAGAAATAATTAGTTAGTTGAATAAAAACCGTCCGTGGTGCAATCTAGTAAGCTAAGAAATACTTGTATGTACACAAAGATATTTCAGTCATTTTTTTTGTGAGGGTGAGGGTGAGGGTGAGGGTGAGGGTGAGGGTGAGGGTGTTTGAGGGTGAGAGGGTGAGGGAGGGTGTGTGAGGGTGTGTGTGTGTGTGTGTCTAAGAATCTAAGCATTTAAAATTTCTGCATGAATAAATCCGAGTGGGACAGTTACTAAAAAATGACATTCAAAAACTGTTATCATACCGTGTGGTCGTGTATTAATAGATTTTTAACTTTTTTTTTCAGTTTCGGACGTCAAAGTAGGTCCTTTATCATTGAATAATGTGTACCCATCGCAACCAGGTAAATTATAATCTGAACCATTCGACATTTACGATTTAGAGATTTTACTTTTCCATTTCAAAGAAGTTTCCCAGAAAAACTTTCTGGGAGGGTTGCCAGAGTAATACTATATTATAATAACTGCTTCAGCTCGCTACGCTCGCTTGCGCCGCTAGCCGAGGGCTTCGCCCCCTGGACCCCCGCGCAGCGAGTGACTGTTGGCTACTACAGGTGATTGAAGGACTTCATCGAATACGATGTTTTTTGTACGCCTATCTTTAGGGAAAATTTCAACTTTTACTTTTTCATGAGACGTAGCCCTCGAGAATGCAACGTAAAGTTGTCCATGGGTGAATGCAGGCTGTGGCAGGTAAATGCCAACACGATCTGATGTTTGACCCTCGGCTATACTGATGGTTTAAGGCTTTACTGGTGGAATAAGTTAAATTGAGTTGAGAGAGATTTTGAAACGTCGCTCACGTAAATCGAAAAACCAAGGGGTGCTGACACATCTAGACCCTAAGAGCTTTCATTTGAAACAAATCCGAGGAAAATCGGTCCAGTAGTTTTCGAGATCGAATTAGCACAAACTTTCCAAACTGAAGGAGGACAAAAAAAAGCCTTAGGATATTAAATATATAGATAGATTTTGCGACGAGGAACTTATATTTCTGGAAAATCAATGAAAGCGCGTATCTGCGTAGGGAAACTAATGACACTTATACCTTCTCTAAAATGAGCCAGAAATCTCAATCCCTTAATGCAAAATTTATTCCAACTGACAATGGAATTTTGAGTGAACTCGGGGATATAAAAACTTATCTTAGTTTAGGCGATATTGAATAGGTAAACTTACTTTCTGGATGACTCTTGCAAAATCAAACTAGCTAGGAACTGCTCCGGGAAACAAATCACTTTAATTCCTGACATGAGTGGTTTTCACTTAGTCTGACGTTACTCTGATATTAGAATTATGTCAATTAGTGTCAAGTCAGAGGGTTTAGACCAGTGTAAACTGCTTTATGGCGAAAAAAGAGTGTCTGATCAGTCTAATAATTTTAGACAGACTCTTTTTTTCTACATAGTACACTTTGCTTAGTTTTTTTTTGAATGACTGGAATCAAAGTGCATGCAGCAAATGAGAAAGGCCCAATCCTTCAATTTTAATACGAGTGAGGAAAAATTTGATAACTGATGATTCACTATACTTTGATGAAAGAATCAGCTCATTATGATTAAAATAAGATAATGCACTTTACGAACTTTTAGCTAAGTGTTTAAGAGATTATTTGTTCTTAACTTCCCATATTTTACGTTTCACAGATTTTAACACTTTGTACTTTGCGCTGCTCGGATATGATGCTCAAAATTGGATGATCTGGGGCTTATGTAGAGGCGGCAACTACAATGATTTATTCAGTCCAGGCGGGCAAGCTAGCGGCCAATGCATGTGTGCGGCTCCTTCAGGAGGTGGTGGTGGACCTTCAGGTGGAGGTGGTGGTGGAGGTGGTGGTGGACCTTCAGGTGGTGGTGGAGGCGGAGGTGGCGGTGGA